GAGTGGTCATACCGGGTGGGGTGGCGGTAATGAGTGGTCATACCGGGTGGGGTGGCGGTAATGAGTGGTCATACCGGGTGGGGTGGCGGTAATGAAAGGTCATACCAGTAGTACCGGGAAGAAGCACAGCATCGGGACACTACCTGTCTTGTTTGTTGTTCAGTTTGTGCCGCAGGAAAAAAATTAAGAAATATACCTTAAAAATCCAGACTCTAAAAGGGAGAGATGGTATAATGGTAGGAAGATTCATGAAACAGCTGTAGATGAAAGTTGAGTCTAAGGTCCTAAAATCAGCAGAACTCAGAGAAAGAGAGAAGCAGCTCATGAATGCAGAGTTCAAAAAGTAGCCAATGATAGGATTTCATGCCAAATACTGACATCCTTACACCGTGGAACCCAGCAGGAAGAGAGGAGGGGCAGGAGCAGTGGACGGCAGGGCTTTCACACCAGAGTTAACCCAGCAGCCCCAAAGTACAGAGTGTTGTAAACTGGGAAAAGGAGGCAGCATAATGGTAAATTGAGGCATTCTAGAATGCTGGCAGCATTTGCTCTTACAGGTGATGTGTTAACTAAGGTCATGAGTTTAATCAATATTTGTTCTTTTTAATACATTTAGATGTAAAAAGTGACAAGAACTGGTTGGGACCTTGTCCTGTCTCTCCATCACTGGCACACAAGAAGGCCCACCTATCATAATTCCTCGCCTCGAACTATCTAGCAGTTGCTGCTGGAATTGTAGGCATTACACTGCTGAGTGAAAAATAATTTTCTAAAGGAGTTGTCTTTTGTCCTGTAAAAGGACAAAAAATGCTGCCACTTGATTTTAAGGGTGAATCTAACTTCGGCTTAAGTTATGTTTTCCTTTCCTAAACATTTCTAACAATTTTAACAGGTCACTTTCAACATAGTAGATTCTTCATAAACAGTCCAGAACCAGTAACCATGTGCAGCCCACGGGGATCCAGAATCACTGATTGGATTTACCAAGTTTTGACTGAAACTGCCCTTTCTGAGACAGCCTGCCCCCTCCTTGGCCTGTGGACGTTTGTGACCTTGTACAAAGGGTATAGCGAGGACCTTTCTTCTGCAGATAGGACAAGCTTCTAATCCCAGCTACACCACATTCCTACTGAGCAACCTGGAAGGTACTCCACCTCTCTGACTTGAGAGGTAAATGGAGTAATAATGGTGCCTATGTCAAAGGATTGTTGTAAGGACTGAATGAGAAAAACACTTATTGAGACTTATGAGAACTTGCAACTTTCACTTATGAGAAAGCCTGCTGTATAGGAGAGCTGACTTAGTCCCATTACTATTGCTAGCCTTCCAGCTGTATATGAAGAGAATATGTACTTGAGCTTTTAGTATTTTGAAAATAAAAGTTACCAATAACAACAAACCACAACCTTGTAAACTAGCTACGAATTGATTAGATATTCCCCTTCTAAGTTTAACACACTGGTTTCCTAGTACTATGTACGTAAATGGATATGAAATACAAAGAACGGAATAACGGAAAATGTGTTGTTTTCTTAAAACATTATGATTTTAGCAAATGAGTATCTTTAAAATATAGTTTAATACATTATTGTTGGTTTCTTTTTTAAAACCACTTAATGATCGTATGTTTTTCTAAATTGTAAAAACTGACTTTAAAAATCATAATGCTTCGTTAATGAAAGTCACAAAAAATACATTGTGTAATGTATTCTACAGGATATGCACATTTCTTTCAGAATGCACGGAGTGACTGAAAGTAACATGGAGGTATGAACCACAGAGTGAACAGGTACCACAAACAACCCTTGTTTAAATGTAAGTAGCAGGGATTGTTCTCCATCTAGTGAGCAAATACGGATGTTCTCGCATTTCACGTGAACATTTTTCTTTATTTTGGAAACTTTATTTTTAACTCGTGTATTTTGATAATATTCACTTAAGTAAATATATACAGGCAGTAAAATTCGGTGTGATAAAAAATGTAGCATATGAATTATACAAGTTCTTGTTTTACACAAATGTAATAATATCTGTATCAGTTGTCTAAGCAGACTGCAGGGTTCTGCTGGATTGTAGGCCATTTTGAAATAAAAAATTGTGACTTTTTTTTTCTTTTTTGAGACGGAGTCTTACTCTGTTGCCCAGGCTGGAGTGCAATGGCGCAATCTCGGCTCACCACAACCTTTGCCTCCTGGGTTCAAGTGATTCTCCTGCCTCAGCCTCCTATGTAGCTAGGATTACAGGTGCCCACCACCACACCCAGCTAATTTTTGTATTTTTTAGTAGAGACGGGGTTTCACCATGTTGGCCAGGCTGGTCTTGAACTCCTGTCCTGAGGTGATCCGCCTGCCTTGACCTCCCTAAGTACTGGGATTACAGGCGTGAGCCACCATACCCGGCCAGAATTGTGACTTTCTTATAAGTTGTTTCATCTTCAAAAGCATTTTAAAAATTTCAGTTTAACTCTGAGGGAAAGTTTATATGTGTGATATTAACAATTGAATTCTTTAAATAATATAAATTAAAATCATATTTAAGTCTATTTTTGTGATGTTTTTTGGTAATAATGTGGCTAGAATATGATTTGCTAAATTCTGTAATTCATTTGATATAAAGAACCAAAGACAAAAACCCAAACTCCCAACCCAACAGGGCCCCATAGAAAGACATTCATGCCCTAAGCATAACACAGCTCCACCAGCCCCCACTTCCAGCTGGAGCACCTGGCGGCCTCCACCTCTGAGCGGGAGCCTGAACAGGTGTGGTGTGCGCCTCACCTGGGCCCGTCTCAAACACAGCCTCTGAACTGACAAAACCAGAGTCCCCCACTGCACCAACTCGAACTTTGTATGCTGTTCCTGGCATTAGACCCTTTAACCCAAAGAAGCTCCAAGAACCATTTACAATTTCTTTTCTCCATTCTTCTTTGCCTATGGAAATTTTGCAAAAACAACAAATTTGAATATTTTAATGGACCAGAAGTCACTTAATGCTTCAAGAAAGGAAAAATCTTTATAAGCTCAAGACAAAATGTAGGATGCTTAGGTTTACCATTTTAGATTATTATAAATGCAGTCATGTCCAATAAATCAATTAAAATGACCTATAGGAAAATATCCTCAAAGAAAAATAGACTGGATATCTAGATTGCTTATTAATTTTATATATTCCCATTGTATTAATTCTCCTCTTTAACACAAAGGAACGTTCTTTATCTGCACCTTGCCTTATGAAACTGTTGAGTTTCTCTAAAGATGTTTACCAAAAGAACTGTTATACATTAAATAGCTTAAGTGAACTATGGGAAGAATTATTTTTTAACATTCACGAGATGAATTTTTCCGTAAATTTAAATGCCTTCCAATGTATCCAATTCATCAATTCAATCTTTCCCAAGTATTGGTTTCTCTAAAGGGATCATTATTTCTAAAAATACTTGTTTGCATGATAAAGCCTTAAACAGAAAGTTGGACTCTGTTCAACACTTTGTCACAAACATTTATTGGCCACCGCATTTATTCTATATAGAGCACACTGCATTTAGGAGGGGGCATTGGGTTTTCATTAACCACTAAAGTAAAAGCTGCCCCATCTCCTAACAGATGTGACCAGATCTAAGAAGAGTGCCTGACTTGAGAATATATCAAACATTAAAACATATTGAATGCTCTCCCAAAGTATTAATTTTCTGCAGTTTTTTAATAAAATTCTGTTTGGCTAGTTAGGGTAAAATGAATACTTCCAATTCAGTTTGATTTCTGCTACTTCAAAGTCCGATTTGAAACAAACCTGTTCTTCTTTCCTACTATTACTTGCAAATATAATTATTCCCTATTACTCTTGTTTATGTGTCGTGGGCATAGAGCCAATTTTAAGTACTATGATATGAAAATAACACACATAATGGAACATATGCCCTCTGTTATTAATATAAAAAGTGATTCCCGGTTACGCATAAAATATGTGGTATGCTGGTGGTTCACTATAATTTTTTAAGATAACTCATTCATCTAATTGGATCAAATTATTTTGGAAGACGATCCATAGTAAATTCTTAAGAAAGTTCTTAATCTTCTAAAATGCATCCCCCAAATTAAAAATCGGGTAATGAAACGGTTTCTTACTGCCTGCTATACCATATTCAACATAAAAGTTGACATGCTCTGGTCCCTCATATTCCCAACTGATATTGGCATAGGTCTCAGCAGCTGCAGCAGTAAGATTGCTGATCCTGGGATTTACTGCTTGAACTAAATATACAATAGAAAAATAAAACAGACAAACAATCACATTGCAGCACCATACACGCAAATATAAGTTTAAATACTCTGAAATTGTGCAAATGGAATTAAATAAGAATTTACTGTTAAAACTTAGGATTCACTCATGCTTCACTTTCATTATACGGAAAGATTTTTTGCTTCTTAATGACAGCATTAGGAAATAAATTAATAATCAGAAATAATGATGCATAATGTTAAAATTTATGAGTTCTATTATATGGGTTCTGAATAAAATAAACTGTTGTCCATTAGATACAGTCCCGGGAAATGTCACTGTCTTCATTTACTAATGTGTGATGGAGAGGGGGATTGCTGAACAATCCCAGGGACAGAAGTCATCATGGAATATCAGAGACGCCAAGGTAAAACCCAATACTATGTGGCTACTTTTCAATTCTATGTGTCATCTCCATGCAGGTCTTTGAAAAATCTGTGTTGGTGTGACAGAGATGCCCCTTTGAACAGCAGCTTTTGATCTGTTTTAAAAAGCAGACTTCTTTGAGTATCAAACTCTGGGGAACTTAGGGACTCCAGGTAAAGAACCCCTGCTTTAGAGAATGATGTTGGAAGGGAAGCTGCAAAAGGAATTGCCAGATACGTTCTATCAGAAGTTAAGAAAAAAGAAATAAAATAAGTAAAAACTATTTCATGTAACATATCCCAGACAGCAAGACAATCTTACCTGTTAACTGTTTGTTACAAAGCATTTTCTGAAAAATCATAGTGCAACCTAAATAGCTTCTTAAAAATCCAAATTATGGAGACCAGATGATGCTACATGCTTGCTACTGGGTAAAGACAACATCTAAAGTCATTAAAAAAATGTTATTTGAATACTTAAAGCTGGCAATTCTTTCAGTCCTACGTCAATAGCTTAAACTAAAAATAAAATATGTACAGATGTGTTAACTTGGGTAGTTAAAAAATTAGATGAATTTATTATCCCACATAAAATTGACTAGGATAGTAAATCAGACAGCATCAATGGGTTTACAAAGACACTGAAATTTTATTCTAAGGTATGTTTATAAAATTTAGATGCTCAAGACCTTTGTTCAAATAAATGTAATAAAAAACACATATCTTAGAACTGAGAAAAGAAAGATATTAAAGCGGTTAAATAATGCTCTTGACTTCTGAAATATAATTCGACAACACATGCAAATTTTGTATCTCTTTGTGCCAAGCATGGGGAAACAGCAGAGGGCAAAACTGATTACTGAATTACGCAGAGTCCTTCTGTGGACCTAACTAATTTTAGTTTTCTGAGATTTTCTTTTTATAGGAAAAAATAATAGGAATATGATCAATCAGTGACACTAAATATGCATACACGTGTAAAACATTGATGGCAATCATTATGGAAAAACATCAATTTTCTTAAAAGATTTTGGAATACTGAAACTGAGGAATTTAATCTTGGAGTAATTATGGAAGATGTTCAAGGCAGAACCGTAATACTTCTAACACAGATCATTTACTAACAGAAGGGCAAAATACTTCTAACAGAAGAGCATTTAGCTTCTTCTTATTTTTTACATTGATTTCTATGGGTGCTCCCTTCTCAAAGTTTCTTCCTCAAACTGTTTTTTTTTTAATTATTTTGTTTCCAGTCTTACTGAAATGAAATCGGTATCTCTACAAGGTATCTACTCTCCTGTGTTCATTGCAGCATTATTCACAGTAGTCAAGATTTGAAAACAGCCTAAATATCCATTGACAGATGAATGGATAAAGAAATTACCATATATATACACAATGGAATATTATTCAGACTTTAAAGAGAAGGAAATCCTGCCATTTGCAACAATATGGATGAGCCCAGAGGATAGTATGCTAAGTAAAATAATCCAGACACAGAAAGACAAATACTGCGTGATCTCACTTAAATGTGTGTGAAAGGAAAATAAATCTTTGGGCCCCCAAATCACTAAGCTAAAGGGAAAAGTCAAGCTGAGAACTGCTTAGGACAAACCTGCCTCCCATTGTTTTCAAAGTCATCCCTCTGCTCACTGAGATAAATGCATATCTGATTGCCTCCTTTGGAGAGGCCAATCAGAAACTCAAAAAGAAGGCAACCGTTTGTCTCTCACCTACCTATGACCTGGAAACTCCCTGCTTCCAGTTGCCCCACCTTTCCAGACCAAACCAATGTTAATCTTACATATGTTGATTGATGTCTCATATCTCCCTAACGTGTATGAAACCAAACTGTGCCCTGGGCACCTTGGGCACACATCTATGTGTCTAAAATGTCATGGGCTATGTCACGGGCACATGTCCTCAATCTTGGCAAAACAAATTTTCTAAATTAACTGAAACCTGTCTCAGATTTTTGGGGTTCACATGTGGAATCTAAAAAAGTTATACTTAGAGAAACAGAGTGTAGAATAGTGGTTGCCAGGGGCTAGGGGTGGGGTGTGGGTTGGGGAAATGGGGAGATGTTGGTCAAAGGGTACAAACTTTCAGTTATAAGATGAACAAATTCTAGAGATCTAATGTACAGCATATTATTAATTACAGTTAATAATAAAGTATGATACACTGGAAGTCTGCATTTAGCTTATTCTTAAGGGTACCCAGAAAAGATACCACAATTTCCTAAGGTATGCTGTTTGGCCAATTTTATCATAGAGAATTTTAACTTTCCTTCCTTTAATCCCCACTCATCCACTTTCTCACTCCCAAAGTTCCTATGTTGTACCCAGCCAAGGGAGCTCTAGTGTCCCCTTTTTCTGGGCTTTCCCAACGGGCTGCTTCTGGTGTGCCTCTCCCAACTGTAGGTCTTCCTCTGTAGATACCACTAGTGTAGTTAACCTACATTTTAGCTACCGAAACTACACCTCTAATCTAACCACCTCTCTGTTTAAAACTCTGCCTATAGGTAAATACAAATTCCTTAGCAAGGCATTCATGGCTATTCAGAGCTGTTACCACCTGGCTCTATCCAGCAATCCACTCTCATCTCAGGGCCTTCTCTTTTCCACACACTCTCTACATTTCAGCCTAAGTGGACTGCTTGGTATAACCCACACATCTGGTGTTTTCAAATCCCATGCCTTTGCTTATACCCCCTACCAAGACTTTACACACTACAACTCCCTGATTCATCTGCCAAAAACTAAACAAAACAAAAACTGCGCTTCAAGGCCCAGTTCAATATTATTTTCTTTGTGAAGCTTTTTCTGATCCTGCTTGGCAAAATAAATGGTTCATGCCTCTATGTTTAGATAATATTGTGCTCCAATTTCTAGTTTAGGATCCATTTATTACTCTTTCAATGTGTTGGTCTTACCTGCCAGATTTTAAGCATGTCAGGGGCAGGATTTGACCATAGTAGGCTGCAAGTTAGGTCAAGAATGTCTTTACACACAGCTTCTTAAACAAAGGCGGGTGCATTTTATATGCCAGAGAGACATTCACTGTTGAACTGACTGAAGCCTCTATGCTTCGAGGTATATCTTGTTTTGTTTTCACTTAGACCAAAAAAGGAATTTTGGTTTTTTATTTACTGGTTCTTTACTCTGGCAAAATAACATAGTAAGAGTCAGATCACAGAAGGGATTCACCACTAGCTGATCCTCAATGCTCTTCTCTGATAATTCCTAACTGGTTGACCATAGTAGGCTGCAAGTTAGCCCAAGAATGCAGATTCCTGCCTTGCCAGTTAGTTTCTGCCTGTTTCTGTATTCCAAACTAGTCACTCTATGATAGTATTTTGATGTTTGGTCTCCAGAGTGCCAGATTAAATGCAATGAATAAGGCACTGTGGATCATCAGCAATACCAACATAACTCAACTCTTTTTGGGTTTGCACATTTTTGGTTCATTTCTATACATGCCTTCACAGGACTACTTCCTAGAATTCCAGACCCTGAAATCATTTATTTATTTATTTATGAGATGGAGTCTTGTTCTGTCACCCAGGTTGGGGTGCAGTGGCATAATTTCAGCTCACTGCAGCCTCCACAACCCGGGTTCAAACAATTCTCCTGCCTCTGCCTCCTGAGTAGCTAGGACTACACGTGTACGCCACCATGCCCGGCTAATTTTGGTATTTTTAGTAGAGACAAGGTTTTGCCATGTTGGCCAGGCTGGTCTTGAACTCCAGATCTCAAGTGATCTGCCTGCCTTGGCCTCCCAAAGTGCTGGGATTACAGGCATGAGCCACCACACCCAGCCTCATTTAAAGAGACATAGAAATTGAACAAATACGCCAATCAACTATAATTACTACACAAATATTGAGAGCTTTAACCCAACAAGGAAAAGTATAAAAATAAATGACTCAAAGATCTTGATTACTTAATTATATTAAGGAGAATCCTAAGAAGAAGGGTCAGTATGGCATCAAATAGTTAATTGAATTATCCTGAGTTTTCCTTCAGGTTTATAATCATTTTGTAATTATATATTTAAAAACTTAGGTTTCATTAACATCTCTTAAAATCTGTAAGAAAATTAAAAAATTAAACTCAGATGCATTTATTTTTCCCTCTTTGACCAGAAACAAATTAAAACCACTTTTCATGAAATCATAATTCATAATAAAATCATATTAGATGTTGATGCTTTTTTTTTTTTTTTGAGACAGAGTTTCCCTCTTGTCGTCTAGGCTGGAGTGCAATGGTGTGATCTTGGTTCACTGCAACTTCTGCCTCCTGAGTTCAAATGATTCTCCTGCCTCAGCCACCTGAGTAATTGCGATTACAGGTGCCTGACACCATGCCCGGCTAATTATTGTACTTTTAGTAGAGACAGGGTTTCAGGATGTTGGCCAGCCTGGTCTTGAACTCCTGACTTCAGGTGATCTGCCTACCTCAGCCTCCCAAAATGTTGGGATTATAGGCATGAGCCACCATGCCCGGCCATGTTGATGCTTCTATAGCTAAGGATATCACATGTTTTTTCTCTTTATTCATCTCTTATTTATTCCCTTTTCTCCTGATTTAAATAAAAAATTAAAAGATACATTTAAAAATTAAAATTTGGAAGGATCTCGGAGAACTTTAATTTTTCTCCTGTCACAGAGAAACTAAACTCTACATAGAGAAGGAAAATAGAGAATAGGATAGAATTCATTTTCAGATTGATAAAAGAAATATTTTTAAGGAAGGAAAACCCAGGATCACAAATTATGCTTGAGTGGTTTAAAGTCTCACCATGGTAAAATATCATCTTATGTAAGCCATACTTAACTACTGCTATACTGTTTAAATAAACCATATTAAAATTAAGGTCAGACTTAGCTTTTTTCCTGCTTATTTAAACATTATTCCTTTTCTTATCAGAGAGCTGTCAGATTTTAATACTGGGGGCTAAATGAACTTTCAGACACTCCATTTTTGCTTGTCTCTTTATTCATAAGTAACTCACAATTCAAATTAGTAACATAAAATGGTAAAACCAAAACTCTTTAAATAAGGGGTTCCTTTAGTTTTAATTTATTAAAAACAGAGGGGTGATTTCTTTTTCAGTGGAGTAGATATCTACTTCTTACATGACAAGTTCTAACATGACAAGTCCATTTAAAATTCAGACTTGCTTCACAGACAATCCAACTGAGGCACAGTTTCTCTACTGTCAACTCTAGGCATAGCCATAATGACATGTCCACTGCATAGGAGAAATGCCAGGCTTTTAGTGAAATGCTCCAATTGAAGTTATAAAGCAGTACATTATTGTAAAACAACTAACGATTTTAATTAATGTCTAATTATCACAGGAAGGAAGTATACAAATAAACAGCTTACATCTTTCTTTTTTTTTTTTTTTTTTTTTTGAGACAGGGTCTTGCTCTGTTACTCAGACTGGAAGACTGGAGTACAGTGGCAAGATCTCAGCTCAGTGCAACTTCCACCTCCCTGGTTCAAGTGATTCTCCTGCCTCAGTCTCTCGAGTAGCTGGGATTACAGGCACGTGCTACCATGCCCAGCTAATTTTTTGTATGTTTAGTTGAGACAGAGTTTCACCATGTCGACCAGGCTGGTCTCGAACTCCTGACCTTTTGATCTGCCTGCCTCGGCCTCCCAAAGTACTGGGATTACAGGTGTGAGCCACTGCACCCGGCCAGCTTACATCTTTCTATTATATTACAGAAATTTTGAATTTTTACTTCATCCTTTCAAGTCTAAAAACACAAATGTAACACTTAAGATTACTGAAAATGGCCATAGTTCTTATTCAATAACTCCAAAATCTATCTGATCAGTATTTTGCAATTTACCAAGACTCTGAATATAAGCAAATTTCTAAGCAAATAGAATAAATCTATCAAGTCTAAGCTCACAAGATCTGAATAATATAGGGCAAAGCACTTTTTTCTCTTGGTCTTCCTTTTCTTTATTCCTGTTTGTACTCATCTGATCTGTGAAAGCCCAGGAAAACCCCTGACCGTGGGCACACCATGTGAAAACAGTGCCCAGTGGCTGGTGCTCCACTGCTCTCTAAAAAGCTGACTGGTCAACCAGCAGCCAGGGGTCAAAGACTGGGGCATATTTGGCATTGCCACAGATGGAAGACATATTACAAGTTATTCAAGCACCGTTCTCCCAACAAATCTTTTTGACCCAGAGAGCTGTCAGAAATAAAGAATAAAAGTAATCCATTGTGGATTGTTGGTATTACTCAGGAGGAAGAGACTTAGGCAGCTGTGTGAAGACAGGATGGGACAACATATTTAAGAAGAGCACCTGGAAGACTCACTTGTAGGGAACGCTAAGCTTGGGGAGACTTAGTCCCAAACCAGTTGGAGGGCATTGCTATACTGCAATTCCAAATGGACGGTTTTGTGTGGTGGGAGCCGAGTGTACGCTGTATCTACAAAGAGAGCAGCTAAATTGGAATAGAACAGGAAGCTTGGTTGATCTCATTTCTAACAGGCTGTTTTCATCAGAGGGCTAACATATCTGAACTCCTAATAAAGTGGTATGGCCACATAGAGGATCTGTGACAAATCCACAGTTTTGGTCCTGTCTGATCCAGCCAAAATCATAGTATTAAATGCTAAGATTAGGATTTGTACCAAGGATAAGTCTCAAGAAAAAATTTTGGGAGAATTCAATATGTGGCTTTCTACTTATAAAGAAAGGACTAGAAATTAATTTTAAAGCCAAGATTGGATGAGATATTCTTTTCTTTTGGTGGATCAAAGCATATTTTATTTTCTGTTTTACCCATGCTGCACTTCCCCATGTTTCACATTGCAAATTTCACACATGTATAAAGTCATGCAGATGAATTATTTTACCTTTGCCTGCACCTACATCAGGTGGAAGAATACCAGCTTTAATGAAGGGAAACAGAAATAGGACACTATATAGTTAGATGTAACACACCCATGAGCATGTATAGCGATATAAAAACACATATTAAAATGCTAAAGCATGCAAGAAGAATGAAATGTACCACACCAGGTATGGGGGACAAAGATATGTTGGTGTCCCCAAACTGACTCAGTATTCAAATCCACACATTACTTAAGGTGCATTATTCATACTTGTTTATTATGTAAGAAGGCTTGGGATATTTCAAACCAAATTTGGGATAGAAATTGTCAATTTTTTAGGCTATCAAAGATAGTCAAATGAATAATCCTTAAGCAACTCTACAATTTAGAGACATGCAAAACCAGAAAATCTTTTACAATATTTTTGATAATTTTCATCAGATCCAAAGATTTCAGAATAACTTTCTTAAGTATGAAGTGTTAATTTCTTTTTCTAAATACTGTGATGGGTTATTTTACTTTCTTTGTACATACCAACATATAAAATCTTTTGCTCAAACACAAAATAAATGCACTATTTAACTGTTTTGATTTCTTTGCTAGAAAACCTGAATCGATATGTGAACTAGAAAATTATTTCTAGTAAATCAGGACCAGAAATAGAATTACATATATTTGTGTGTATACAGGTGTGTATGTCTGTGTATGCATACATGTGCGTATTATATGTATGTGTACATATGTATGTGCATGTATATATATGATATATAAAGTTGTAAATAGGAAACACATTGATTGGAACTTCAAATTCAAGCATAGCAAATATTATGCTTATTCATACCTACCCTAAGATTTTAATATAAGTTTTAAAAAGTTTCAGAGTTGAAAAATATCAGTCCAATATGAGCTAAATAGCTGATTATGTATCAGAATGAGAAATTACAAATAAGTGTTTGTGTTAATTGGGTAAGATAGATACTCCATAGCAGGAAGGAAAAAGCATGAACTTAAAGCTTTTTATTTCATGATGCTGATAATTATATGGATTTTATACATACCCATCTTACCTTCATCCACAGTTGTAACTGCTTCCTCTGTAATCTGACTTCCTGATCCTGCTGATGTTTGTGCATAGAAATAAAACTTATATCGAGTGCTGAAATTTAAATTTTTTAAAGTCCACCGCGTCTTATTGGCAGGAATTTTCAAATCTACTAGAGGGCCTAATTCATGTGTGCTGTTAACTGTCAATAAGAAAAAACAAACAAGTGCATTCTCCATTAATTGCTGTAGGAATACTATTATAAATAAATGCACTAACTAAAAATGTTAAACTTGGCTTACGTTGACTTTTATAATACTATTCACTCTTCGCCCAGCATAACTAAGTGACAACCTTTTAACAGTTTCCATACTATGTTATATTATATCATATCATATCATCACATCATATCACAAGGGGGAATATGTTCTTTATTGGCTAATAAACTAGAAGAATTTTGTGGCTGAATCACAATAAAACTTTTTCCCCTGTATTCTTGCAGGTGAAATATTGTTAAATATTTCACGTATATATCTCGTATTGTTAAATAACCCCAAACATTTTTCTTCAGAGGCCTGTGCCAAAAGAACTATTTTCTATGTACAGAAAATGCATATCTAATTTAATGACAGCATTCATCTAAAACCCACCCCTAAAGGTCTGTATTACTCTACAGATCACTTAATTTTTAATAACATACAAATCATTTTTCTTTAAAAAGTAAGATCTGAAGTTCTTTTTGGAAAAACACTTGAAGGTACATGTATATACCCTACAGATATAAATAAAAACTAGCTTGTATTTTCTGATAACAGTTAAGTATTTTTAAAACTGTATTTCTTTTTTTCGAGATGAGTTTCACTCTTATTTCCCAGGATGGAGCACGATGGTGTGATCTCGGGTCACTGCAACCTCTGCCTCCAGGGTTCAAGCAATTCTCGTGCGTCAGCCACCTGAGTAGCTGGGATTACAGGCACGTCCCACCACGCCCAGCTAATTTCGTATTTTCAGTAGAGATGGGGTTTCTCCATGTTGGTCAGGCTGATCTCAAACTCCTGACCTCAGGTGATCCACATACCTTGGCCTCCGAAAGTGCTGGGATTAGAGGCATGAGCCACTGTGCCTGGCCTAAAACTATATTTCTAGCAAAAAGTTAAACACATGTTCTAATTCATAGGTGGAAGCTAGAAAGTTCATGTTACAGAAGTAAAAAGTAGAACAGAGGATCCCAGAGGCCAGGAAGGACAAGGGGAAGGCAAGATAGGGAGAGATCGGTTAAAGGATATAAAATGATGGCTAGATATAAAGACTAAGTTCTAGTGTTCCATACACAGCTACAAGGAGGATATTAAGTGTTTGCAACACAAAGAAATGATAAATATTTGAGATGATGAATATGCGAATTCCCCTGGTCTGATCACTATATGTATCGAAACATCACTATGTACTCCATGAAGAGGTACAATTATTTGTCAATTAAAATAATAAATAAAATGGAAAAAAACAGACAAATTTCCTTTCTCCTCCTCCAAACAGCTTACTTGGCTGATACTTTAAGGTGTACTCTGTCAAAATGCCATTCGGGTGGCTCGGTGGATCCCATTCCAAAGTGAGAGAGTCCAGTGTCGGATTCACAATCTTCAAAGACGAGGGAGCACTGGGGACTTACAATGAGAACTTAGAGTCAACACAAAGGTTTCTGAATATTTCAACATGTATTAAAATAATATGTCACCATGCTCACACAGTTCAAAACTTTGGGTTTCAGTAAGTCATTCATGATTCAGCTGAAAATACGTGAGTACAAACCTGTGACAGGTACTCATTTAGTTATTCTCTTCCTCCTTCTCTCTTGTCATTTACATTTATATTCATTAAAAGCATCCTCTCAAAACAAGCAATGACTTTGCCTTCAGATGGACTCAAACCTAATCTTTTAAAAGGAGACAGTACTTATTTGATGCATGAATGATGTCTAAATAGAGGCAGACTAGCTACCAAGTAAAACTATTCTAACCGGATCTGTGAGTGGAAGCAGCTGTGTTCTGGACCATTAAGGGCTGTTTTCTCCAGCAAACCAGGTGTCTCCAAACAGTCACAATTCCCTGCCAGGTGGGCTTTGGGCCAGCGTTCCCACGTGCAGAGATGTTCTTATCCTGAGAGCTGACAGCTGCCCAGGATCTGGTGGCGAATGGACAAAAGCCCAATCCTGGCTTACCGCGGGCCCTGGGGAAGGGCTGAGGGGTGTCAGGTTCTCTGTGGCAGAGGCTGGCAACTCACCAGAGGAAGCATGTCTGGTCGTCTTTTATTCACTTCCTCATGAGGGTGAAGGCTGGGGCAGCTTCTTTCACAATGGTTACCTTCCCTACCACTGTCCCTGGAAACTAACTAATGGGACACTCTCCCTGTTGTCACTCTAGCCAAAACCCAGAGAGTCAACCTGGACTCTCCCATCTGCGTCATTTCCAACATCTCCTCAGACACTAAATCCTGTCCACTCCACTCCCTTCATTAAACCATGTCCATGTCTTCTTCTCCCCATCTTCTTTGCCACGTCCCTGCTTTAGGCCCTCAGATGTCTTTGTCTGACCTAAAACCATGCCTGGCACATAGTTCCAGGCTTCCAAGCTTCCCCAACCCAGTAAGTCACAGACCCTTCTGAGAATCTGATGATAGCCATAAGCACTCTCCGGAAAAATATACACATATCTTGCATACAATTTTAGGAGTTTCATGGAGCTCGTTGAGCCCATTCATTGACTCCCTAAGGGGCTACAGTCCCCAGGTTAACAGGCCTTGGCCTGCAGGTTGGTCAACAGCACCCAAGATCATCCATGATATGAGCCTTCCCTAGATGACCTTCATCCCTTTTCTCACCAGTTCTGGCCACACAACTTTTCTGAAGGAGCCAGGCTATTTCCTACCTCTGAGTCTTCAGACATACTTCTTCCTCTCTTCTTTATCCTTCAACTATCTGATCACCTCCTCTATGACACTTTTCCCTGAACCATCTAAAGTACCAGTGTGAGGCCTTACTTGTGAAAGCCTTGAGCAGGAAGAGCCCTGACTCTAAGGGACAGTGAGACTGAGGACAAAAACTTATAATGGGACGGGAGCTGGGACACAGGGTGATTCTCAGATTCGCAGCTGCCCACATCATGAATCTTTCAACCAGGAGCCAGGGTGGGGTGCATCTTCTGTGACCTTCTTCTATCAGAAAGAGCTAAGCAATCTACAGAAGCTATCTAGCCATTGTCACAGCAGCATTGCTGCAAAATTTAAAATAGGTAAAGCCCATTTTAGTGCCTTTTCAAATCCTCATCATTTTTACTACCTGGCCCCCTCTCTCCCTCACCCACAAGGCTCCCTCATCCCTGTGTCCAAATTCCTTCTCCCCCAACTCCAGGATTAATATATATGTGATCCTCCCTCATTCCCTCCCTTGCAGTTGCCCATATCTGCAATGACTTTTCCCTCCTCTTCCCAATCTACTTGGTCAAGACCTGCAACCTTCTAACTCAGTTCCACTTTCTAATAAATTATAAAAGTGCACTGAGAAAGAAGCTATAGAAGTAAACTATAACTTATAGAAACAGTTTCCTTTCAAGGTGTTTTTGTTAGGTTATCTAATTTGGTTCTCATGCTTTTCAGATGAGGCTACTGACCCTCAGCGAAGTTAAAGAACCTCTTTCAGGTCGGAAAGTTAATGATCCAAATAAATGTCAGAGTAGCAAGGTTTCAGACAGTGCGTGCGGAGAAAAATTTTAAGTCAAGGGAGAGGGAGTTTCAGAGCAGCATTTTGGGTTCCGAAGCCTTCTATGTACACTTAGGCCACATGTGATCTGACATTCTGGCAGCTTTGTGTGTGTTGTGCTCATCTATGGAAATTTCAATCACACTTGGCTTCCAGAATATATTTTGATCAGTAGCCCTCTGTCACACAAAACCTCTCAGGCCATGCCATATGTTCCTGGGATCTTAGAGATGCGTCCATTCCATACCTCCTTCTGGAGTATTAAAGACTCTGTCAGGGCTGGCTGGGCCCTCCCCTTTCCCATTGACCACTCGGACGTTCAATGTGTAGTGGCTAAAGGGCTCCAGCCCCGGCAACATGCCATGCGTCTTGCTGCCTTGGAAGGTGAGGATCTTTTTCTCAATGTGACGTCTGTTTCTTTTAGGTGAATTCTGTGTCTTCCAGTAGTAAATCTGAAACAGCAAGAACGAAAGTCAGGAATGCACAAAGGAGCAAACAACATTCCTTATGCTCACCAAATTGAAATTGTTGTTTTTCCAGAAAATTCCCTTGGTACATTTTAGAAGAAAATTACTAGCAAAACTGATGGATATTGATTCTGAGGCAAGAGGAATAGAAGCCCATAGATGAGGAGGGAAATTAAATTACAGCCACATGACAAAGCTGGGCTACGCTATTTTGTCGTGGGAGCCTAAGCAAAATGAAACAGCATGAGACCCATATGGTTTTCTCTAGAACATGAGGCAAATGGAGGACAAGAGGATTTAAGTCTTTTACTTGTATAAAACATTCTAAAAATAAAAATCACTGCCCAATGTTTACATACTTTTCCAGAATACATGTTCATGTACAATCTATCATTTAGTTTAATCCTAAACCCTACAGTGGGGCTTTTATTACTGTTGCTCATATGGTGCAGATGAGCGTGTGGCTATTAAGTGACTTTCACAGGCACAGAGATATCAAAAGCTACAGGGAATCCTCCACTGAAAGTCTAGAATTTTTCTGCTAAATCAAACTAGTTTAAAATACTATTTGTTTTGGTATTCAATCGCAGGCACAGGTTTTGAAGAGATGGATAAAAAAGTATTGATTAATTTTGGTCACAAATCCAGAATTGTTTATTAAGTCCTCTTAAATTCTTAGGAATTTAAAGGCATTTTCAAGAGAAGTCAATGTTTATATGAAATCTGGCAATACTATGGGAGGAAAAAAAAAAGGTTGAATGTGATGTAGTACAAAAAGTGACCTCTAGGAGTCAGGCTTAACAAATCAAAGTAATGACTGTGTGTGCTTAGCTGCCTATCAGTTAAAAATCTCTACGAATCAGTGCTTCTCAAGAACAAAGATAATGAATATTTATAAGGATGACCTCGATGAGAACATATGGTCTTAAGGTATATTCTGAATTATTTTAAAAATGCCTACATTATTATCAGGATAATTTTGTATGTTCAACCCATGTGGTACATATTGCTTTAAAGCTAGCTACGATTATTAATAGTCTAGGTCTTTAAAAAATTAGTTCCTCCATTTTGTATACATACTTACTTGGCAGAATGTTAGATCATCAGTGGGAAAAATGGAGAAAACTTTTTTTTTTTCTTATTTTGGATTCAGTGAGATTTCAAGTCAACTCTGGCCATGGCCCTGCCTGAGGCAATAAGTCAAATGAATTCTCCAGTCCACAAGTTCATAAAGCAATGAACCAAGTATGTCCTTCCTCGTGTGGTATGCATGACAAGTGGCATTTACTGCTTCCCTTACTAAAGAAAGCCATGAAAGGTCCCCCTCCACTTGCCCGATAGCCTTGTAGGTGTCCTCGGATGCTTTTCAGAGGTACTGGGTCCCAGTGCACTTCGGCTAAGGTACTGTTCACCACATTCACCCGCACATTCCCGGGAGCCACCATTGGGACTAGGAAAAGGACAGGGAAGTGGTAGAAGTATCAATGTTATTTTGAATTTCATCCATAAATATCACTATCTCCAATAATTTTGGATTAAAGCGTATTCCAGTCCTATTCCATGGATTATTAAGGCTTGAATACAGATTTTGGGGTAAATTACTTTGTGAGAGATTTTTTTTTTTTTTTTAAAGATGGGGTTTTGCTATGTTGCCCAGGCTAAACTTAAATTCCTTGGCTCAAAGGCTTCTCCCACCTCAGCTTCCTGAGTAGGAAAACAAGATTTTTTTTTTTTTTAAGTACAATTAACCCTTGAACAACATGGGTTTGAACTGCATGGGTCCACTTACACGTGGATTTTTTTTACCCCCATAAATACAGTCAGCCCTCTACATCTGCGGGTTCTGCATCTACAGCCAAAGAAGATGGAAAACATGGTATTTCCAGGTGCAAACCCCACGGATATGGAGGGCTGACTTTTCATATAGGTGGGTTCCATAGGGCCATCTGTGGGACTTGAGTATATGCAGATTTGTGTATCCTAGGGGGGTGTTCTGGAACCAATCCCCTGTGGATACCAAAGGACAACTATAACTGCAATCACCATGAATGTTGTGAACGTCTCTTTCTTACACAGCAGGCTGTTTAAACTCAGAGAAGTCATGCAGACTAATGGCGACCTCCCTCCCTTGCAAACTGAGCACCTCTGGAAATGGCCTTGGCTTGCACCTTGGTTAAGTCTGTTTTGCTGGGAAAAGTAGAAAGGAAATGGCATCACTTACGATCTTCTCCAGAATGTCCCATGACTACAGCTGGCTCGGGGGCAAACCCCATGTCATTCAGGGCCTGAACTTTGATCAGGTATGGAACAAAGGTTGGCGTGCCTGAGACAATATATTTGGATACATTTGCCACAACCACAGACGTCCATTCATCATCACCATCTTTCTGGCGCCAGCTAACTTTGTACTGAAGGCCTGGCCCATTAGATTCGAAACCATTCAAGGGCTATAAGAAAAGCCAAATAACCAGAGCTTATAACACAGATCGACTGCACAGTCTTTTATGGGAACAGCAAATTCAATTCCCGGATCTAAGAAAGTGATCACTGAAATACTCAAACACAAGCTATTAACCATTTTCTCCAGGGACCTTTTATCAATTGTGCATTTGCAATGAGATTCAAAGCTTGTTTGGGGTCAACATTTCAAAGATTGTCGATTACTACCTTGAAGCAATAAATACCATATAAGCCTTTCAAACTCTGGCTCTACAGTCAAGGGTAGGTGATTCTGAAGACATTTCAGTCACATGGAATCCTTTATATATTCCTGTTTGTACAACAGTACATCATTGTCCATTTTACTTTCAGATGGAAACCTATGGAGTGTTTTTCTCTTTATTAAAAAAAAAAGGCTACCCTGCCATTCTGTTGTTCCTACATGTTTGTATAAGTGTGTACATATATGTATACATGTAAGTATGCATGTATGGATCTATCTAAAATAGGTTTTGAATTATGAGTAAATATATGCTAATTTTCCAAATTACAAAACACATATGAGTTTCCTCACTAAAGAAGTTGACTGCTGGGAATAGTTTGGTGATTGTCTTTCAGTGGTTCTTTTTTTTTTTTTTCTTTTTTTTGAGACAGAGTCTGGCACTGTCACGCAGGCTAAAGTGCAGTGGCACAATCTCAGCTCACTGCAATCTCCAGCTCCTGGGTTCAAGCTATTCTTCTGCCTCAGCCTCCTGAGTAGCTGGGATTACAGGGGCATGCCACTACGCCTGGCTAATTTTCGTATTTTTAGTAGAGACAGGGTTTTATCATGTTAGTCAGGCTGGTTCTGAACTCCTGACCTCGTGATCTGCCCACCTTGGCCTCCCAAAGTGCTGGGATTATAGGTGTGAGCCACGGCACCTGGCCCCAGGTGGTTCTTTAAGATAACACTAGCCAGCATTTTTTTGAGCACAAGTATATGCTAGGCACTGTTCTAGGTGCTTTATATATATTAGCCCCTTTAATAGTATGAAATTGGTTCTATTACCATTTCCATCATACAGATGCCTGACAGAGATGTTAAACAACTGGCCTAAGGTCACAGAGTTAGTGGCAGAGCTGGGATTTATACCCAATCATTCTGGCTCCAGAGCTCAAGCTTTTAACAATTACACAATACTACTTCTCTCTCTCTCTCTCTATATATATATATATATAGACACACACACACACACACACACACACACACACACACACATATATATTTTTCCTTCGGAAATGGGTGAAATGGGATTTTAATGTAGACATTGTTTTCAAACAACTTTTTTTCACTCTAAAAAATAGCGAATAAATTTAAAGGCATCATAGCTCACCTTCCATGTAATCACCAAATTATCAGGCTCTGATCCCAGTCCTTCCACAGCCGTGGGATTTTTATCTGGTTCTAGAAGTTAAGCAGCCACATATGCTTAAGCTTTGTCTTTTGCAAAGAGTGGAAAACTTTTTTATTTCATTTTATACCCCAGAAGTCCAGCTTTCCTGTTTTACCTGAGGCCTTCGTCAAATACTGCTCAGATGCCTCACTGGGCAAGCTCTTCCCAATGCTGTTCACGGCTGTCACACGGAAGGAGTAGTTCACATAAGGAGACAGCTTCAGCTGGGCTGTGGTCTGTGTTCCAGAAACTTCGGTTTGGTGGTGCCACAGCCCTGGCTCGTGCATCGCATCTTCATAATCGATGATGAATTCTGGCCATGACACACACACACACACACACCAAACCCAAGAAAGTGAATGCAGTTACCCCAGGGGTAGCTGCTAGTGAAAACTAGGGCACGGCAAATTCAACGTACAGGAACAGCAAATTCAATTCCTAGACCTACAGAAAGTGATCATTGAAATACTAAAGCACAAGCTAGTAACCATTTTCCATTAACCATTAGCCAGGCGTAGTGGTGCGCACCTGTAGTCCCAGCTACTCAGGAGGCTGAGGAAAGAGAATTGCTTGAACCCAGGAGGCGGAGGCTGCAGTGAACAGAGATTGCACTACTGCACTCCAGCCTGGGCAACAGAGTGAGACTCCATCTCAAAAAAAAGAACCACCTGGAAGATATGCACCAAGCTATTCCCAGCAGTCAACTTCTTTAGTGGGGAAAGCATATCTGTGTTTTCCGGATTTGGAAAATTAACATACATTTATTCATAATTCTAAACCTATTTTAGATAGCTCCAGCATGAGCAACCAAACATGATTTATTTTACTTTCAAGAAAAATGCCATTAAAATAGTTTGATTTCAGAGTTCTATCATTATCCTCAGCACTTAAGCATACATGGTAACACTTTAGTGGGAAATGGCATCTCACTGTATTTAATTTCTCCTATTATGAAAAAAATTTGACCATCTTTTCATATATTTAAACTTTTTAGGGATATATAGATTAATTCTAAACAGTTTTAGATTTTACCTAATCTGGTATTCTTTCTCCAGCATGCTGAGTTTAGCTACTTAAAACTGTTTAGAATTAATCCATATATCCCTAAACAGTTTAAATATATGGAAAGATAATCACTTTTTTTCATAATAGGAGAAATTAAATATGAGATGCCATTTTTCCACTCAACATATGGGCAATATCAAATGTTTAGCACACTTTGTTGACTATGACACAAAGAAGCAATCATTCTGACTTTGTAGGAAGGGTATACGTTGCAACAACTTCTGTATAAGACAATTTAGAAAATCTGTCAATATTTAAGGCACATACTCTTTGAGAAATTTTACTTCTAGCAATTTATTTTGAATAAATGTGCTCACACAAATGGCTCAAACACACATGAGAACAAATCTACATTGCAGTATTATTTGCAATTGAAATAACCTAATTGCAAACAATCTAAACATCCATCAATAGGACACTGACTAAACAAATTACACTATGTCCACACAATGGAATACTCTGCAGCTGTTAAAAATGACTGTTGGACAAGTGCGGGGCTCACACCTGTAATCTCAGGACTTTGGGAAATCTAGGTGGGTGGAGCCAAGGAGTCTGAGACCAGGCTGGGCAACCTAGTAAACCTCCTTCACTTCAAAAAATTTGCTGGGTGTGGTAGTGTGCATCTATAGTCCCAGGTATTAGGGAGGCTAAGGAGGGAGGATCACCTGAGACCAGGAAGTCGAGGCTGCAGTGAACCATGATCAAGCCACTGCACTCCAGTCTGGGCAACAGGGTGAGACCCTGTCTCAAAAAAAGAGAAAAAAAATGAATAGGGCTGTTCCATATGTGCTGAAATGAAAGATTTCTAAAATGTATTGTTAAGTGAAACTAAGCAGGGAATAGAATCATGTGTGCTGTGTACTATGCTTGTGTAAATGTAAAAAAAATTACTATAACAAATAGACATATTCACTTGCATGTATGTGCATTACCTCTCAGAGAATATACACTAGCACTGGTGTGGCCAGAAGCCCTGGGAGTCAGGAATGGGAGGAAGACATACTTTTCAGTGCACACCCTCTGCATCTACTAAAATCCGTGGTCTGTACACATTTTACCCTTGTAAAATAATAGGTATTTGGATATTCACTGATTGCCTACTATGTGCCAGGAGCCATGAATGAACTACAAACACAAAGATAAACTAAAAATATTGTATGTGTTGCAGTGGGACCTGAAAATATTATATGTGTTGCAGTGGGAACTGAAAATATTGTATGTGTTGCAGTGGGAACTGAAAATATTATATGTGTTGCAGTGGGAACTGAAAATATTATATGTGATGCAGTGGTTCAAAACTAAGTCCTTGGAGTTCCACTTTCAATACACATTCATCTTCGGGTGATCTCCAGTCCTATAAATGGTTAACTTTCACATTTATATCTCTAGTCCAGACCTCTTCCCTGAACTGCAGACTCAGAACGTCCAACTGTCTGCTCGACAATTCCACTTGGTTATCCATGACAATATCTCAGACTGGATAGGACCAAAACTAATCCCAATCTTCCTCTCCAGTTGACAGTGACAACCCTGGAATCCTTGTTTCCCCATGTCTTCCACACTCTCGGCAGTACAATGGCCTGTGTACCATTAAAATATATCCCAAATCTGTCCATTTCCCAGCCTATTCCAGGCCACCCTCCTCTCTTATGAGAATGATCACATAACTTCCTAACTCAGTAGTTCGCAGACTTTCTCGGCTCACAATGTACTTAATGTCTCCATAATTTATTTTTCATGGCTCCCTTAAGCTAAAAGAATGACCTAACGTTTTCATGTATTAAGTAGCTAGGTTCATACAACTTGATATGTTGTATGTTATACCTTAAATAAATTTAAACAATTTAAATTTTAAACAATTTTAAAACTGTTCATATCTTAACAATTTAAAGCTTCTCTTCTACAACTTCTCAAACCTTGCAAACAGATTGGACACCACCTTCCACATCTCCTGCTCCCCAGTGATTTCCATGTGGCACTTGCTTTTTACCACAGCACATGCTTTGCAGAGATATAACATTATCACAAAATGACAAGAGATATATAGTTGAACTTGTCATCTGCCCCAAGCGAATTTCATGTGATGTCTGACAAATATCACTGTTAATTTTTTTAACATCAAAATTTAAAGGTAAAGCTTTAAAATTATCCGAAGGGAGGTACCCTGTGAATTCGCTGAGGTACCACTGGGCATTTCAGTGCACCGTCTGGGAACCATGGTCTTTCCCAGTCTCTCTGCTTCTCTTCCTGTTCTTCTATAGACTATTTTTAATAGACAAGCCAGAGTTATTCATTCACCCCTCCCCTGTTAAAACTCTCCAAGGGCTTCCCCATCCTCACAGTGACCTACAGGCCCTTGCACAATTCCCACCCCAGACACCCACTGCTTAACTCTTCACCTCTTTGACCTTCTGTCCTCCTTCACTTTCCCTTGTTTATTTCACTGCAGCCTCACTGGCCTCCTCACAGACATGCCCCTGTCTTAGGGCCTTTGCCCTTTTCCTTTGCTCTTGCTGGAAAGTTCTTCCCCTAGACAACTGCGTAGTATACTCACTGACCTCCCTCCCCTGTCTTGATTGACATATTCAAATGTTCTTTTCTTAGTGTGTCCTTTCACATTCACACTATTCACAATTATACCCCTAGCTCCCCATCTCTTTCTGCTGATTTGTTTTATTGCATGTCCTAAACACAGATACACATACAACCATATGTATTAATAGATATATATAAGTTTGAGTCCTCTAGGAGACAAAGACTAAGACAGAATTAGAAATGGAGAGGTCTACTTGGGAAAATGCCCATGGAAGAAAAAAGGGAAAGGAAGCAGGGAAGCCTGAAGGGGGAAGTTCCTTCAGACCACAATGCTGGTCTGACATCTGTAACAGAAAGAGGAGGAGGGAAAGAGGAGTGAGTAGGAAAAGCCTCAGACTACAGTACAGTATAGTTCTGGGATAGACTCAGCTAGGTCAACCAGGAGGCCAGAGTACAGTCTGCCCATGAGAAGAGTTTTGCATTAGGCATGTGTGACCTCTGAGACTGTACCAAGCAACTGGAGCACCCCAAGGAGTGTGGCCTCATGTGAACCCTGCAGTGGAGCCTTACAGAAGGAGAAGCAGATGGAGGCTGTCAGTTAACACACTTTTCAGCAGGTTCTCTCTTGAAGGTAGATCTAAGTCTTCTGTGTGTGTGCATATATATATATATGTTTACATGCAGATACAATGACATTATACTTAATAATGTATTATTAATTTTATCTTATGTATGGCCTCATCTAAAATATAAGCTCCATAACGACAGAGATTTTTGACTATTTTGTTTTAGAACAATGTCTGGCACATAGTAGGCACTCAAAAATATTTGTTGAATGAATGAGTAAATGAATGAAAAAGTTGAAGTGCCTCAAAATCTAACGGTATTATTTTAATATGGGGAAAAAGAGTCTCCAAGCCATCTAACCAGCTAACTCTGGTTAACGCACCCAATGAGCTAGAAGACTGGGCCTGGATGACTGTGTGTTCTGATCAAGGACACTGAAAACTCAGTAGAGAAAAAAGGACCATTAAACAACACAAGACAGAGGTAAGGCTTTGGTTAAATTTTAGTGGAAATATTCTACTTTACCAGGAAGTGCAATAAATCAACACACCTATGATTTCAGAATCATCTTAGGTTGTCATCAGAAAGGAATTCAGTCTTCCTGTAGTATATGCTTGAAGGTAATCATATATTTCAGGCATGTGACCTGATTGTGTCTACCTCTTAAGTATCTCTTTGGCTTTACATTAAACTTCTAAGCTTACCTATAGTCTAATTTTATTACACTTCTAGTATCCTTATGACACTGTCCTTCATTATCTTATTCCCTAGGCTTATGTCACCAAGGTGAGATGCTCACATTGTTGAATAGACAACTCTGTAGCAAGGACTAATGAAAAGAAAGAGACCTAGGTTGGAAGTTAAGGTAGAACCTATGATCTACGCCCAGTTCTGTTACCAACCGTGGGTTGAAAAGTTACTTTACTCAACAAGCCTCAATTTCCTAATATGAAGACAGGGCCATTCAGCACTTGCTCCTCCTAACCTTTTCTCCCAGAAGAAATGGGCAAAACAAGCGACTAACTTAAGGTGCACCTTCCTACTGTGGTAGGTATTTAAAGTGATTTTTATTGATCTTAAACAAAAATAATAGTGTCTTTGATTAATCAACATCTTCAGCAATTAAGTGGTGTCCTATTCTAGAAGGTGTAACCAGGAATAACTTCAGCTCTGAAGAGAGGAAGGACATAAATAAATATTTTTGTTCTATCAGTAATGAAGCAGAGAATCCCAGTGAATACCTTTGTGAGGAAATTCAGTTGACTGTTACAAAGTGCTTCAAACATGGCCATTTAGTCGGTCGGTAATAGAGCAAATAATACCACATACTTGTAATAGGGCTATTGTTGTCATCGCCTGGGGTCCATGACAGCTGAACACTTTTGTCAAGTTGATCTGTCAGTTCTAAGTCAAAGGGAGGATTTGGAACATCTGTAGACCAAACATACACACATCATCGTCACCCATCCATCTTTAAGAGGTTCTCCTTTACTCATGTACTATTCACAGAGGGGACATCTTAAAGACACATAACAGTTGATAGTCAATGAGCATGCGACTGAAAGGAAATGCGAACAGCTGAGGTTGCTGGGAACACACGAGATAACCCAAGATAACCCATCAATGAGTTCTGCTCACTTATTTATCAAAGGAAGCGAAAACATTTGTAACCAAATCCAGTGAGGCAGATACATATGGTTCATCAGCACTCTCAGTGTGTCTTCTCATAAACATGAATGGGCACAAACATGAAAAACGATAAGCTTAATTTCTAATACATGGAAAACAGAGAATAGCCACTGCTGAAAAACAAATATAGGCAAATAAAAGATGCTGTTTAAAGAAAATTCAAATGTTCTTTCTGAAACATGCTGAATAACGGATTTGGGGGCTCTGAAAAAATATTTATATTTGCGAGAGAATTCTGAAATAGACGCTATGGGGGTAGCCCTCAGCATGCGTAAGTGTGTTTACTCCCAGAGGACAGCAGTGTATAGACAGACACATGCTGGGACAAAAGAGTCCTGGAAGCATGTCTGCCTCTTCTGATAGTGTTGTTCCCCCCAGACCTTTGACCTTGCTCTTAGGAGTAACTCTGGCACTCAGGGGACCAGAGACCATATAAATACATGTGCCTTTTTTCTTATCAGTGATAAAACAGTAAAAGTCTACAAAGCATAGGTTTTATATTGGATAACTAAATACAATATTATTGTGCAAAATCAGCTGAGATTATGTCAAAAAATTGGTTTTTGTACTGATGTGCTGAATAAAGATGAAGGTTCTCTTAATAAAAAGATTTCTGGAAATGATTTCTGACATATTTTCCAGATTCTAAAAAGTCACACAACATGAATGTGCCCGTCCTTTTGGTCTTTCTTAAGTGATTTGTCTTTTGTCAACACATGGTGAGTCAGTTTTCTCTGATATAAAAGCTAAATGTTGTTCTAAACATCCATTTTTCTCCTAGATACATTTCTTGAAAATGGAATCCCAAAACAAGATTTATTTTTCCAAAACAATTTTTAAAAAATTGAGGTGAAAACCTAATTTGTAGAATGATATTAGAAATAGTCTTTTCATTCTGTAAAATGTGGATGATGGCTTTTAAAAAAGCAATATGCTACTTGACAAGGAAATTGCATCAAAGAGGGACTTTCATCAAACGAAATGATTTTATGATAGCACATGAACTATTTGAAACAACTGGCCATGAACTTGGTGAAAAATCTAGGGTTATGATGAAGAAATGATTCATTGTCAGTAAATGGATGACATCACATAACAACTGACAGAGCCCCTTTCCTTAAGAGACACAATTATGTGACATAGAAAGTTATCAATATTTTCTGCAGATGTGAAATTGTTTAACAGAAAACAGAGAAAGAAGACTCATATTAGTTTACCGTAAACGGGAACTGGAGTTGGAGTAGGAGCTAGAAAGGACATTAATATAAAGGGTTTTAATCAAAATTAGTAATGGAAAGATACAAGATAGCACAAGATGACAAAGACTGTACATTATTCAAGATTATAAAACTAAGCCCTATGTGTAGCTGTGAAACACAGCATTGTTAAACATGCAGTAACAATTGAGGGAAAAAAACTTCAATTTTAGATACAAGTAGATTATTTCTCTTAATTTTATTACAAAAATGTTACTAATGTGCATATCTACTATTTCACCCAGTGCTGCTACATAGTATATTTATACTTAAATTATTGCCTTCAAGGCATCTTTCAAAGAAGAAAAACATGGGTATGAACTCACCCATGCATATTAACAAGCAAACATTTGATATTTACAATTTTTATCTTATTTTTCCTTTTCAACCAAATGCAGCGAAGCCAGTTGTGCTATTTTTGTTCTCTTTCTTACCAACAACGCTAAGCACAGCGCTGGCGGAGACGCTGTCCAGAGTGGTGTTGGCCACACACGTGTAGGTCCCACTGTCATCATCACTGACATCAGCTACCACCAGATGATCCTTGTCAACAGTGAACCTGTGGACAGAATGCATTCAGAGCAGCAAAAATGGACATTCAGCCACACCCTATAATTGCTTCACTGGCAGGAAAGAAGCTGTACATTTGATAAAAGAGAAAGATGGTACAAATTTTCAAATATTAGAGCAAAACACTTAACACTTTAAGAATGATTAAAGTTGGAAAGCAGTGAGAATGAACTAGAATCTTGGGTTAGAAGGTATAAGTCCTCTGTTATAGTATTTTTCAACCAGCCCTCCAGAGCACGGGTTCCCCAAACCCTGGGCCATGGACTGGTACTGTCCTGTTAGGAACTGGGCTGCAGAGGGGACCGCTGCTCTAGAGGGTATGGTACATGTTTTCCTTAAGTCCCCGGGGAATGGGCGAGTGAAGCTGAGCTTCGCCTCCTGTCACAAAAGCAGCAGAACTGGATTCTCACAGGAAGGTGAACCCTATTGGGAACTGTGCAGGTGAGGGATTGAGATTGTGCACTCCTTATGATCACCTAATGCCTGAGGATCTGTCACTGTATATATTACATGTAATAATATATACATGTATATGCATATTACAATGTAATAATAATAAAGTACACAATAAATGTAATGCACTTGAATCATTCTGAAACCATTGTGCTGTGGAAAAATTGTCTTCCATGAAACCAGTCCCTGGTACCAAAAAGGCTGGGGACCGCTGCTCTAGAGGGAGTGGTAGAAACTTCCTTAAGTTCCCAGGGGAATGAAGTAAAGGCTAGTTCCAGCATTATCCTTACTAAAGGGCCTTACTAAGGCTTTTGCTGCCATGAAACACTGGAAAACCGCTCCTTCAGTTCAACTTCTATTAAAGCATTTATTTTAAATACTTTATTATTTACTGCAGAAATTTCATGTCATTTTCTTACGTGTATAAACTCTTACAGGAGAAATTAAATGCAAAGAATAATAATTTGCTTTATCACTAGAAACACGAAGATTTAAATGAATAACCTTTACCGAGAGTTTTCTAGCGGTTACTTGTGAGCATGAAAAATTGCTCAGTAGATCAAAAAATTAATGTATAGAGGATTCATGTATTATTTTAACAAAGCTGCATAAATCATAAACTGTCTTCTCAGTTAATTTCCAAGTAAAAGTTTCAGCCAACTTAACCTGATGGTCATTTCTTTATGTTTCTTTTTCATCCTTTTTTTTTCTTTTTTTTTAAATACAGGGTCTCACTCTGTCACCCAGGCTGTAGTACAGTGGTGCAGTCACAGTTCACGGCAATCTCAGCCTTCTGGGCTCAGGTAATTCTCCCACCTCAGCCTTTCGGGTAGATGGGACCACAGGTATGAGACCACCACACCCGGTTATCCTTTTCATCTTTATCAACTCAACAAATAAAATTGACTAGCTCAAGCATAAAACTAGATGGAGACTCTAGGCACATAAAAGAGAAGGCCACAGAATTCTTCTAGGGCCATTAATAAGCAATAGGGCAAGCTTTAGGTACCACAACTTTAGGTCAGCTGCAGGTGAACCACAGAAATGATTTCGACCAGAATACTGCATTCCTTCTAATAGACAGCGAGGCCTACAGCCACTTTGCTAAAACTCACACATTCCAGTCTGTACTGCTACATCAAATCGAGGGTCTCATCTGGAAAATCCCATGACCTTTATTCCATTCTTAACTAAATCTAAGCATGCTTGGGTTCTTTAAAGCTTTACCTGTTTTTGTTTTTCCTTCCCCTTCCACTGGCTTTAGGTAAAACCAAAAGAAAAACTCCTTATCCAAATAAAAATGAGTGTCTTTTAGAATACTGACAAGGATTTGAGCAGTCTTTGGTGATTAAAGAGGTCATATTTCTGCTTATTTGTGGAATGGTAATGAAAACATCTGTTGAGATTTTGCTGTTCAAGGTATAAAACAATGGATGTTGTCCAAGGCCTGAGGGTTTTTTCCCATCCTGAATTACACAAGAGACTAGCATTCAAAGATAGACAAACATTCTCGGGGTCCTATTTCAATCACCTGGTACCTTCTTAGGTACATATATTTTACAGTAGGGAGAAAATGCATCTCTCTCTGTTTTGGAGACAGCAGACTTCAGAAACTAAAAACATCACCATAACTGACTACATAATAGACCTTTAGTTCAAGAATAGCTTAAAGAAAGAATGAAGAGAAAGTAAAGAAATCGGCTTCAAATACCTTTCATCACTGGGCAGTTCCTCATTGTCCTTCAGCCACAGGACAGTGAGGACTAAGGTGTGATCATGTTTCACTTTGCATTCAAACGACACCATGCCCCCTCTTTGCACAACTGCATATTCGGGCTGTTTAATGATCCATGTAGGATCTGAAATGTAAAGTTATCGTTATCCATTTGGCAAAGCTGGAAAATCTGTTCAAAGTCATTTAAAACTTAAAAAAACACATTACCTCTGCCTTACCTTTGATTTCTAAGTGGACGTCATTCTTTGCCATCCCTAATTTATTCCTTGCAACACACGTGTAAGTTCCCGTACTGTCCTTTTGGGCCACAGGAATCTCCAAAGTTCCATTTTCATGTAAAACATAAATATCTTCATGAAGAGCACTTCCTTTAGCTCCTTTAAACCTTTCATTACAGAAATTATCAGGATGAGAATAAAAGCACATATATTTTGAAGTCAGACATAAAATATCATGTTCAAGGTCAACACAACCATGATGTATGTTAAAGTTGCAAGGCTATAAGGATTGTACTTTTAAAAGCAAAAATAGGAAAATATTCAGGGGATGAAAAAAAGGCTTGTATGTCAGATAGGAAAAGTGAAACGGATGAAGCAAACTAAGTGTGAATCTGTCACCTTCACTAGGAAAATCATCTGCATAAGCATCCATTTTTCTTCTCTGGGGTGAAGGTGGGGACCTGGGGAGATTTTCCTTTAATCCTAACCCTGCCTTTATTCTGACCTCAGTAGTTGGAGCTTAGCATAGCATCTGGGACCTGACAGATGATCAGTAAAGAATGTTCCAGTTTTTGTTCATTCATTCTTTCTAAGTCATTGCCTATCCATCCTCTGCCTTGTCTCTTTCAGGTAAAGTAAACAAGCTAGGAGGAGCTAGAGGACTTAAACCTTGGGTGGCATATAAAAGGGGATGATCTTAAGTGGGTAGTAAAAGAACATGGGAGATCTTGGCTGGATCCAAGTCAGGAAGATCCGGTGCAAGAATTACTAAAAAGAAACAATGGTAAAAACAAATTCTGCTTTGGAGCTTATAGAACCCTCCACTACCCCACATGATATTTTATTATCAAGGAATATCCCCTAACTAATCCCGCCTGCCACTACTCACAAAGTCCCAGGGGATGTCCATGACACTGTAAAATACAGCAGCCTTAAATTAAAAAAAAAATCATTTACATGTAGATCTGTGCTTGACAGAGTGTGCTGCTAAACAGATTGTACACGTGAAACTATTTAACACAGAACTAGTTAATAAATATTTGAATGAATTTAATAATTAACAGTGAATGCATGAATTTAATAATTAACAGTGTAGGCCAGGCACTGTGGCTCACACCTATAATCTCAGCACTTTGGGAGGCCAAGGTGGGTGGATCACCTGAGGTTACAAGTTGGAGATCAGCTTAGCCAACATGGTGAAACCACGTCTCTATGAAAAATACAAAAATTAGCTGGGCATGGTGGTGGGTGCCTGTAATCCCAGCTACTCTAGAGGCTGAGTCAGGAGAATCACTTGAACCCAGGAGGCGGAGGCTGCAGTGAGCTGTGATTGTGCCACTGCACTCCAGCCTGGGTAATGAAGTGAGACTCTGTCTCAAGGGAAAAAAAAAAATTAACAGTGTAATGAATTGTGCACTGTTTTTCCACGCTTGGTTGTTTTTTTAAAAATAAAACCCAACATATTTAGAATATGAAGTCTTTAGCGACACTTTAAGTATTGAAAAACACACAGAGCTGCTACTTACCACTCAATGGTTGGGAGAGGAGACCCAAAGAAGGCACAGTCTAGTAAAGCAGGTCTGTTTGCAATCACCTGGTAGAGTGTGTTTGCAGGTGTGAGGATTCGTGGTGGCTCAGCTGTAAATATTTTTAAAAGGTAAAGTAACTATTACAATACATTTTAGGACTACAGTGTATTTATTGTATTTTGTTTCAAAGTCATTAAAATTTATGGTAAAGCACAATCAATCTCTCTCCTTATGTTTTGTACCAGGCGTAATACTGCCAGTCACTCAAGGCAGAAAAATACATATTTTTCTCTCTCTACCTCCTGCCCCACTTCTTGCTCAGGCATTATTTTAGTTGTTGATTTACTGTGAGTCCACTGCAGTCTTGGAATGAGACTTTTAATTGTTTTATCCCCAGCACAGTGTCTGGCACAAAAATAACAATCAAGTATATTTTTGTCGAATGACTGACTCATCATAACCCTAGTGGGTGGGAATGGTGGGGGAACACATAAGCTGGCAGAAAAAACCAGAGTGGTGAGCATGATGACTAAAAAAATGGAACTACAGCAACAGAAACAAAAACAGACAAATAGGATTACACCAAACTAAAAAGCCTGCAGAGTCAGAGAGATGGTCCACAGAGTGAAGAGACAGCCTCTATAGAAGGGCAGAAAACATTTGCAAACCATCTATCTGGTAAGGGGTTAATACCAAAATATATAAAGAGCTCAAATAATTCAATATTAAGAAAATGAATAATCTGATAAAAATGGGCAAAGGACTGGACTAGACATTTATCAAAAGAAGATATACAAATGGCTGACAGGTATTATGGGAAAATGCCCAGCATCACCAGTCATCAGATAAATGTAAATTAAAACCACATGAGATATTATGTCATACCTATTAGAATGGCTACTATCAAAAAGAGGAGATCTAAGTGTTGGCAAGCATGCGGAGAAAAGGGAACATTAAATACTGTGGGAGGAGGGAATACAAGTCAGTATAGCCATTATGGAAAATATTATAAAGATTGTATACACTGTTTATACTCAAAACATTAACTGTTTATACGCGAAACTACCATATGATCCAACAATCCCATTACTGGGTATATATCAAAAGGAAATAAAATCAGTATGTCAAGATATTTGAACCCTTTCATTCACTGCAGTATTATTCACAATAGTCAAGATGTGGAATCAACCTAAGTGCCCATCAATGAATGAACAGAATAAAGAAACTGTGGCATATACACACAATGGAATACTATCCAGCCTTAAAAAAGAAGAAAATTCTGTCATTTCCTTCAAGTTATTCATGTCTTGACAACATGGATGAACCTACAGGACATTATGTTAAATGAAACAGGCCAGATACAGAAAGACAAACATGGCATGATCTCCCTTATATGTAAAATCTAAAAACGTTGTTGAACTCATAAAAGTGGAGATGAAGAAGAAACCAGCAGCCAAAAGTGCTTTCTCAACATCCAACAATATCTTCATTGCTTAGCTTTTCAGTAGGATTAGTGACCTTCATGTCAAGCATGAAAGAAAAATACCAAGTACTGGTTGGCTTTCTGATGGTAATTTTGTTTGAAAAGGAAGTATATTAATTTCAAAGGGTTGAAGTATAATTTCCTGGCACCATGAAAACAATTCTCACAAAAATTTTCACAAATGTGGCATTTTGGTAGCGTTGTCCAATATAGGAAATATAACATTCACATAAACCAATTATTTGAGAATATGTTTCAGTATATCAGACTTTTTAAAATATATTTTTACAAATAAATGTACATCTGTGACTTGGATGAAGTCCAAGTTTTATGATTAACGGTTTAGTTTTTAAAAATCAGAATCTTTAAATTGTTATTTAACTTGTCAGTTTCTTGCGATGGAAGAGCAATAATATTCAGTTACTAATAGCAGACAAATGCTATTTTCCTTTTGAGGGTTTGACACTTAGTCTAACCATCTGTAAGTGGAACAGCCTATTTGACTAGTTTTAGAATGAAGGATTTGCCAGTATAAAAACTGTTATTAAAGGACATTAAAACTGCAATATTCTCTAGGGCAAGGTTTATCTGATCCATCTCTTGTAATTCCAAGTACTGTACAATGCACATAGTAGATGCTCAATGTATTTTTGCTGACTGAGCAGAAAATAACAACAGTCATTAATTTAATTTGCCATGTCTTTAATAAAAGGAGAGCTTACCCAGCACATTTACAAATGCATTTGCCAGTAAATATCCATACTCATTAGAGGCATTGCACTGATATACGGCACTTGATCTTTCTTGAACATTTGAAAAAATAATGGTATCGCCATCAATTTTTCTGCTGGGGTCATCAGGGGCAACTGTTTGGATGTAAAAATAGAAAGTATTTATTCCTATTTGCTTAAAAGATGTATATTAAGCTTGTAAAGTTAGTAGGACATAAATAAAGGCGGCTCTAAGTATATGCAGTAAGAATAAGACCAGAATTGAGGCAGAAACCATAACACTTTTCTTCTCAGAATTTAATATATTGGCAAGGGTATGTCCTCAATATTCATATAGTCTAAAGTAGACTGATTCTGTAACACTAAGCACTCTTTTGAGAGATGCAGAAAAAAACTCCCATAAGTTTAGGTGAAAATTGCATTACAAATTCAGGAAAACATTCCTTGTTCAAGAGATTTTGGTTATTTATGAGAAAAAGTCATTAATGATCAAGAGGAAATAGCAAAAGCTAGTAAAAAATAAAGAAACCCTCCACCTCGCTCAAATCTGTTCCTTTTTGAAGACTCTTCTTGACAGAAATAAATTAAAAAATACATAAACACATAAATATGGGGCTAATAAACAAATGTGAAAATATTTTTCTGCTTTGGATATTCTTGAAGCTGAAGTAGAAATAAATTGTGTACATTCTTCTTGAAGACAACGTTTTCAGCTAAATCTCTCAAGTACTTAAATGTTAGGACCAGGATTTGATCCTTACTGAAGTGGAATAGAACTGGCTGGGTAACATAATACGTGAGGATTTAGTCCCAGGTATGCCCAGCAATTTGGAATTTCTGTGAGATTAGAGATGAATTCCTTTCTGTGAATGATACACTTCAGGCTCTGAGCTTATATTGCTTTAGAAGTACACTAAGAGGGATTTAGGTCTCTGTCTCAACACGATGATCAGAATCAAAACTAAGTAACAGCATCTTTTCTCTTAAACTGCTCCTGCAACTTGAACCAATTAAGAAGCCTTTATATTCTTTCTAAACACTATTTCTTTTTCTTTGATGACAGGAAAAAAATATGCAACTAAGACATATTTATCACTGCACTTAGACTTATCACTTTTAAAATAAATTCGTTTCATCTGTGGTTTATTAACCCATTGTAACAAAAATCAACCAAACCACAGCATATCCTTGTTTTATGACATATAATCAAGGCATTTTTGCGCCTTCATTCTGTAATAGTTTTCCACGGTTGCTGTAACAAATTACCACAAATGTAGTGGCTTAAAACAACACAAATTTACTATCATAGAGTTCTGTAGGTTAGAAGTCTGACATGAGTCGCACTGAGCTAAAACCAATGCATGCACAGGGCTGCGTCGCTTTCTGAAGGTTCTAGGGGAGAATCCATGTCCTTGCCTTTTCCAGTGTCTGAAGGCTGCGCACATTCCGTGGACTATGGTCCTCTTCCTCCATTTTCAAAGCTGTCGATGTTGCATCTCTCTGATTGTTCTTCCATAGTCACTTTTCTTTCCAACCAGAGCCAGAAAAAGTACTCTGCTTTTGGGGGCTCATGTAATTAAATTGGGCCCAAATTAGACAGTCTAGGATAACCTTCCCACCTCAAGGCCCTCTACCTTAATCACACGTGCAAACTCCCTTTTGCCATGTAAAGGGACATATTCATGGGTTCCAGGGATTGGGATGTAGACATTGTGGCAGGGGGATTGCTCTGTCTAACACATACTGAATCACATTTATAGTCTAAAAGTCTTTTAGATGTTTTAGACTAGAATATTTTAAAAATTCACTATACATTTAAGTTCAGAACAAGCTTTTAGCATCCAAGTATTATTAAAACTCCAACTTATGAGTTACTCCTCATGGACTGATTAATGTCTTAATTTCCAAGTAGGAATGTAAAAAGAAGTAGCTGTTCAACACTCTGCTCACCGTCAGTAACTCATTTATGAAATCATCTTAGATACTTCAGGTTGTTCAACCAGTGATGCGGGGGTATTGAGGTACTCTGAATTGGCTTCTTAGCTTACATCTCCTGTTTATGGCTCTAATAATTTCAAAATTGCCTTACGGAACATGTTCTTCCAAACTGAAGACAAATACAAGTCATAATTCCTCCAACAGGGTATACAGATTCATTGATAAAAGACAGCAGAGGATGGATATGTCACACTGGCCTAGAAAGTGAACTGTAGCTGTGGCAGGCAGTCATGAACCCTGAAAACGCAGTGTACCTTAGGGCGGCCCATGGGTCCCAGATCCCAAGTCTTGTATCACTGGGGCGATTCTGACTCACACAATCTCAGTGATGCTCACCCACTGCCTCAACGAGGGGTTCTGGAACATAAAGTGGCATTTCTGGAGACTTGTTCCCTGTCAGTGATTCTTAGCACTTCTGGTGGTTATACAAAAAAGATACTTGCACATGCATGTTTATAGCAGCACAATTTGCAACTGCAAAAAATATGGAACCAGCCCAAATGCCCACCAATCAATGAGTGGATATAAAATTTCATCATATATATATAATTTCATCATATATATATAATGAAATACTACTCAGCCATACAAAGGAATGAAATAATGGCATTCACAGCAACCTAGGTGGAACTGGAGATCAGTATTCTCAATGAAGTAACTCAGGAATGGAAAAACAAATATTATATGTTCTCACTTATAAGTGGGAGCTAAGCTATGAGGATGCAAAGGCGTAAGAATGAGATACTGAACTCTGGGGACTCAAAGAAAAGTGTGAGGGGGCAGCGAGGGACAAAAGACTATAAATTGGGTACAGCGTATATACTGCTCGGGTGATGGGTGCACCAAAATCTCAGAACTTATTCATGTAACCAAATGCCACCTGTTCCCCAAAAACCTATGGAAATAAAAAATAATACAAAAATAAAGTAGAGAAACAAACTGAATTTTTAAGGTCACTAAAAAAAAAAAAAAAAAAAAAAAAAAAGATTCTTAGCACCTCTGGACCCAGCACTTGGGCTCTCAGTGCTGGGACTCTTGAGGGTACTCTCAGTGCCCACCACGTGCCCACCCTGACTGCATCTATGTGGATATTCCAGGCAGTGGAGTGGAGTGGCTGTGTATTTAGACCGTGATGAGGCCGAGGCAGAGCTCTGGGCCGAATCTCTCTGGATGGGTGGCAGACAATATTAAGAAGTGTTCTTCAAATTCCTTAGGTATATTGAGATTTTAAAAGTTACATCAACACGTGACATTTAATGAATAAAGGGTTCTAGTTCCAAAGATCTGTTGCCCAATAATGTGAATATCTTTAACACTACTGAACTGTGAACTTAAAATGGTTAGGATGGTAAATTGTATGTTATGTGTTTTTACCAGAATAATAAAAATAATGTTACATGACCAGGAACACGGAAGACAAAGCTCAACAATGTCCACAGGACAATTTTCCCCAAGTGGAGACTCATCAGTCACAAACAAACCATGTCAGAAACCTTTTCTGTAGCTCTCAGTTGCAGTTTTTTTTGCTAGCAACTCTTTGGGAAGATATCTTTTACCTGAAAAGCATGTGACTGTATTTGCCTTATATATGTTAAATAGAGCAGTCTTTAAATATTTATTTTTGGCAAGGTATTTAGGAACAAAATAAACCCTTTAGGTAAGAATAATGAGTAAGCAGGCCTCTCTCCATGGGAGTTTGGGCTACATTTTCCTTAAGTACTTGTTAAAAAAATGCAAACAACCCCAGGAACTGTCACGGTGGCATATGGAGGCTTGGTTGGTAGCTGGACACAATGTAAAATCACCAAGGTAGAGACATTTGAAGACTTTGGATGGGCTGGCTAGAGGGTAGAATAACTCTCTAGCATGCAAATCCAAATTATCCAGAGGAATAATCATTAATTCTGGGAATAATCAACTTCATTTGCTGTCAATGAACACTGGAGAGAGGAATTTAAAAGCACAGAATCACCACAAATAACTTAAAGCCCCAAAGGTAAGGTCCAGAACTGGGGTGACGGCCTTCAGAAAATACTTTCTTTTAAACCAGCTCTCCTGACGTTGGTGGGTAAAACTATAAATGCTTTCAACATTTAGATAATGAAAATAATAATAATCATGCCACCTTACATGAACAGAGTATGATCAATCTTTAAAATGTTTTACATTTACTGCATAATTTTATTTTAAAAAGAACTTTGTGAAACAGATTAATCAGATAGTATTTTATGCATTATGGAGATGAGAGACTGCAAATGGGAGCATGCACTGGTTTGTTTAAATGAGGTTACTGCTCAGGTTTTCTCAGGAGACTGTGTAAACATTTCCTGGAATGTGAACATTTGGACATAATGTAAAACAAATTTCCAGGTGAAGAGTTAAATTTTCCTCTTCATTTTCTTATTCCATTCCTACAAGGGGATGCCACCGAGCCCCTTAGTTTTGTGAAAAGGAAGAAGGGAGGATGCCTTGATGAAACCCCAGGAATATCCTGGGCTAGTCCTCCATTCTCCTGGTGCTTATCTTATGTTGCTGGCTTTCAACATCTTTCATTGTGAGCAAAACATGTCATTGTGCCAGGAGAAGGTCTTCTGCCCACTCTCATTCTCTTAGCTCTTTTCCCTCTCATCCCTGAGAGGACAGGGGCCTTTCAATACAATAATGGTGTGATCTTATACATGTTTCATGCAGAAGAGTCTGAGAGACCTAATACAATGCATGTTGGAAACTGTGAAGGATCTGCAAATGTTAGACTCTCCCGCAGAGATAGGAATCACAGTGGCATGGCCTTGGGCATCACCACCTGGATTGGCACAGGTTCTCCAATGGGGAAGACCAAGAGGAGGAAAAGGGACTCAAAGATACCCACCCAAGGGTGACTGTGAAGTCCTGAAAGGCAACCTCCTGGGGGACAGCAGGGAAATGCTTGGCCCCATCCTGCCAATAGCCAGTTCATCTTCTTTCTGGTCCTGGGTTCTATTTTCACACCCTCCCATCACACAATAAAATCAAAGCTCTCTTTTGGTACCAGTTATCTGCAGCTCTGTTCTTTTTCCTGACTTCTGTAGATTGTTTTAAAACTATTTTAGGTGGTTTTGGGAAAATTCCACATTTATTTAATACAGCCTGTGATTTGTGCTTCAAGAAAGCTTGAAGTAATCTGGCCAGTCCTGGGGAGTGGGGAAGGGCAAAGGTTTAGAAGACATTGAGATAAACACCCAGACACTTTTGAAGTTAATTTTTCCAGTTTTTAAAACAGTAGCTTTCAGGTCTGAAATGCACAGTCGCAGATCAATAACATCACATTTTGCTAACAGAACCCGTCTTACCACTCCCCTCCCTGAACCAGCTTCTCCTTTTACAGTATTTGTGTGCACTTGGAAGCCAGAGCCTGCAGAGGCGGGAGGAGGCAGTCAATATCCTTAGGTGCTCGCCCACAAGTCAGGAGTGGGGTGGCTGTGTATATGGCAGTATGGTCCCCTGACTGTGTCTCTGTTGTGTGGCACAAGAGACAAACTTCAGGCACTGCAGGGGACACTGCACAGCCCCTGCAGGACAGAACTTCAGAGGCACAGCTGTTTCTTGCCCCTAACCCTCAGCAGCTGGTCCACCTGCAATGTCTATAGTCCCTTGGGTAGAAAGTATGGTCAGCAAGCCAGCTTTTGCTCCCAGCTAACTTCTGGGGCCTATGCTATGATGAAGGCGAGGAGTCCTCACTGTGCTAATTCAGCACCATCACACACTGTGGCAGACTGTGCCCTCAGTTCCTAGCCTCACCTCTTGGCATCTCCCTGCCATCCTTTCCCTGTGTCCCAGTGCTGCTGATGTATCTGTGAGGTGGAGAAGTCAGAAAACTGCAGATGGGAAACAAGCACTGGTGGCCCCTTTCCATGATGGTCCCCAGCCCTCAAAGGCAATTCCCTTTAGGGGCCTCTAAATTCACAGAGCAAGTACCAAGCAGGGGATGAAAGGGATGGCAGCACAAGGCTCCTTAAACATCTATCATTTTTTTGGATAGTTTCCGCACCACCCTCATTTTCCTGTTATTTTGGATTGGGGAGATCAACACACAGTGGGAGCATGCAGGGTTCACTTTGTACTTAGCTGCTTAAGACTTAGCATCCACCCAAGAAGGCACTTAGCAGAAGCTGCAGATGGGTCAGCTGCAGAAGGGTGAGGCAGGGAACAGCCGTACCTTTGCAGTGTCCTAGAGCAGAAAGCTGGGCAAGGGCCCTGCTGGCTCACTGCCGTTTAGTTATGAGATGTCCCAATGGTAATCCACTTTCTGCTTGGCCATGAGATGTCAAGAAAGACCCCTTCCAGGGAAGCTTCCCATCATCTTGGTATAAACACGCAGCACCTGCTCCTAAGCACCATGGAGCAGCCTGGTGGTGCCAGGCTCCTTGCTTTGCTGCCACACCGTGTGGTATTCCTCTCCCTGCATGTCCACCACAGTGACAGCTCTGAGGCACACTAGAGGTTGAGCGACACTGTATCTAAGGAGCTGTGGAATTCCAGCCACGCCGGCTCAGCCTCCTTTTTTCCATCTCATGGGGCTTAAAGAAGACTTTTGGGATGGAAGAAATGAGCCGATCTGATTTGAGATATTTAGTCCTAACTCTTTCTTCTCTACCTAATCAGACAATTTAAGGTTGCAAGACGACCTAACTTGTCTCCCTGATATTACTGCTCTCTACCCCCAAAGCAGGCTTTTGCAGCTGATCCTCCCCACAAAAATGTGACTTAAAACGGGAGTATTATCATATTATGAGTGTATTCTCTTTCTCCTTCCTTCCTTCCTTCCTCCCCCTCTCCCTTCCCTCTTCCTTCTTCTTCTCTTCTTTTCCTTTCCCTCCCTCCCTCCCTCCCTCCCTCCCTCCCTCCCTCTCTATCTCTCTCTCTCTCTCTCTCTCGCTCTGTTGCCCCGGCTGGAGTGCAGTGGCAGGATCTCGGCTTACCACAGCCTTCACCTCCCAGGTTCAAGTGATTCTCCTGCCTCAGCCTCCTGAGTAGGTAGGATTACAGGCGCATGCCACCACACCCAGCTAATTTTTGTATTTTTAGTAGAGATGGGGTTTCACTATATTGGCTAGGCTGGTCTCAAACTCCTGACATCATGATCTGCCTGCCTCGGCCTCCCAAAGTGCTGGGATTACAGACATGAGCCACCGCACCTGGCCATGAGTATATTTTCAAGGCCCTTAAGATGACTGGACTTGCAAGGTTCCTTCAGAGGCACTGCATGCTCTGATACTATGGTCTGAATATTTGTGTCCCTCCAAAATTCATGTTGAAACTTAATCCAAGGTTAAGAGGCGGGGTCTTTGGGAGGTGATTAGGAAATGAGAGTTTCCCCCTCACGAATGGGACTGGTGCTGTTCTAAAGGTCTTGAGGGAGCCCGTATGTCCCCCTCTACCACGTGATGACACATAGCAGCATCTGTGAGGAACAGCCCATCACCAGACACCAAATCTGCTAGTGCTTTGTTCTTGGACTTTCCAGCCTCCAGAACTGTGAGCAATAAATTTCTCTTGTTTATAAACTACCCAGTCTAAGGCATTTTGTTATAGCAGCAGGAATGGACTAAGACAGCTGGTTTATAAGGACAACAAGCAGAGCAAATCAAGACGAAAAATCAGCCTCATTAATGAATCCCCCCTTGCTTATGTCATCCACCCACATCTCAATTTTCTTTGCATAGGATTGCACTCTGGTTGCCAAACTTTATCCCCTGGTTCCCCGTTTTCCCTGCTGAAGGGCTAGATGGATGATCCCTTCCATTTGTCAGTTTCACTGAGTCTAGATCTTAGGGGCACTTTTAACTTTCCACAAACGGACACAAAAACTCTGAGCTGCAAAACATGGTGTAAAAGTATCAAGAATGTATCATCATGTATTGCCATTTTGTATGCATTCCTGAGAAAATCATACATTGTACCAGCTAATTTTTTATGTTTTGGGGAAACAGGATTTTGCCATGTTGCCCATGCTGGTCTCTAACTCCTGTACTCAAGCAATCCGCCGGCCTTAGCCACTGAAAATGCCGGGGTTACAGGCGTGAGCCACTGCACCTGGCCACCATAAAACATCTTTAGTTCTGGGCTTTCTTCTACTTTTTCCTCTCAGTTTTTACTCATACTCCCCTGAGAGTAGCAAGAGCTCCCTAAAACACAACCACAAAGCATTTTCTGCCATTTCTCCTGATCCTGATTCTGGTTAAAATTGGAAGTGGAAATATCCAAACCCTATTTGCTAGCCTCTAGCATCTGTTTTCTCCCAGGAATAATACACTTCCTTTTACAGTGAACACAGGCTGCCTATTTCAAAGTATCTGACAGCTACTGTGCAATGAGACACATTTGAACTTCCAATAAACACTCTTTCAATTAAAACATCGGGCAGGCTACAATGACTCAGTCACCCTGCAGTTGTCAGACCTTGATGATGAGAAACAGGAAGTTGTGCCACCTTAAATCTACCAGCAGTTTTTTGGAACCATCTTAGGGGAAGTGTGTGTGTTACTTCAGGAAAGTCAATTCAGCAGAACTTTTGCTTATGTAAATGTAGAACCAATATTGAATTCTGACTTGGAGGCAGTCAAAGCCAATCTGCCCTGTAACAGAAGCTTGAGGGCTGTCTTCTTTGTGAGTAAAGAATAGCTTTGCAGGTAATCATGCTATTGACTGGAACGGTAAACCTAAGGCTGGGTTTAACTTTCTATGTCTCAGTGTCTAAGAGGAGGTCTGAACTCCAAGAAGGGGAAAATGTTAAAAGATGCTCCTCTTAGCAGTAGCTGGTGATGGGTAGGGTAGAAGACGAGGAGAGTCCAGTGGGATCGCTCTGTTCATGGCCATGGCTTAGGAATTCAGGAGCAGTGAGGTGCAATATCCATTTAAAGTTTTTTTCTGTGTTATAATTCCCTCGACTCTCCCTAAGCCTTTAGCCAAGTTTTATAAAGCTAGCCTTTGCTATGATTTAGTACATTAATGGGACGGCCTGAGGCCACATGTTGGGCAGCATAGTGGCAGCTTGGAGAAATTGGCTAATGAAGAGCCAGGAGTAGAGCGGCAGAGCACGGAGGCTGCTGAACGGGGTGACAGGTACAACTGCCCAGGTGCTGCTCAAGGATGACACCAGCAGCTCTCAGGGAGGGAACACTACTCAGAGGCAAAGCATCCTGGATATGATCAGGGTCAGAGGATGTGGTCTTCTTTGGGTATCAAATGGGACAGTGACCTTGGGAGACTGGAGAACGTGGGAGCACCTGGGTTACACTTATGACTGAAAACTCTTTAAATTAAAGACAGCTAGGTTTCCTATGCATGATGTATCGACTGGCTGTATGCTGAGTCTCCCCACCTACCTCCTCCAGTGTCTATGACATTTCCACAAATCACCTGATGTTTTGCACAAAGATCATCTAAACTTTTCAGTGATATTTATTTCTGACGCTGTTTTTCTTCACAATATTCATGTAAAAAACAGAGGAAATATTGTCAAGTCCTAGTTATCACATACCATTATGTTAACAACATAAACTACTCACATTCATAATAAATATCTAATGGTAATAAAACTCGAAAGGTAATTTGATGCCTCTGTTTAACACACATGTGGCTTCCTTCCTTAACCTGAATTATTTTTTATCACCGTTTGTTCACTGTTGGGATATATATATGCTCAGAAAATATACTGCAACCAGAACCAATCAATGCAACTTACTTTCTATTGGGACTCCATTTGTTAACCAGCTAATTCTGGGTTTGGGGTTGCCATTAGCTCTGCAGATCAAGGTCCCATCCTCTCCTGGGGACAGCACAAGATTTTGAGGGGCCATGATCCAGTATGGAGCCGCTTTATAGGAAGAAGTAAAAAGACCAAAAATCTGAATCAAATAAGCATTTTAGCAAAAGAACACATTGACTGTTCTAATAATACAAGAAAGTACTTCACACCAAACTGGTTAGTCTCAGTTTTTTTTTTTTTTTTTTTTGAGTGAATAGATTTATAAACGATGCTTCAAAGAACACTTAAGATTTTCAAAAGAATGTTTAAAGAGACTCACTGACATATATGTATTATTTCTAGACCTGTTTGATACAAATATCATTCTCATTTTACATTAAAATTAATCAGACATCAAAGAGGTGACAGATTTATCTAAGCATACAGGGCAAATTACAGGTACAGGTAGGGCTACGAAACAAGTTTAAATTCAGAGCCAGGCACGGTGACTCATGCCTGTAATCTTGACACTTTGGGAGGCCAAGGTGGCTGGATCACTTGAGGTCAGGAGTTCAAAACCAGCCTGGCCAACATAGTGAAATCATGTCTCTATTAAAAATACAAAAATATTAGCCAGGTTTGGTGGCAGGCACCTTTAATCCCAGCTACTTGGGAGACTGAGGCAGGAGAACTGTTTGAACCCAGGAGGCAGAGGTTGCATGAGCCAAGATTGTGCCACTGTACTCCAGCCTGGGCAACAGAGTGAAACTCCATCTCAAAAATAAATAAATTAAATTAAATTAATTCTGAGACCTGCAGAATATATATAATCAGGAAGCAATGTAAAAACATCATTTTTGAAAAGTTGCAAAGGTATTACAGTGTTTCCATACATCCTTCATGCAGCTTCCTATCACGTTAACATCTTACATCACCATGGTCCAGTTACCTAATGAAAAGTTAACACTGGTATTTAACTAAACTATACATTCTATTAGGATTTCCCCAGTTTTTGCCTTAATGTCTTGTTTCTGTCCCAGGATCCTGTCCTAGATACCACATTTACTTGTAACATCTTTTACATTTACTTGTCATAGTCTCCAATCTGATAATTTCTTGGTCTTTTCTTGTCTTTTGTGACTTCGACACTTTTGAAGAGTACTGGTCAGTTATTTTGTAGACTGCCTTACAGCTTAGGTTTGTCTGATGTTTTCTCATGATTACCCTGAGGTTTTGGGCTTTCGAAAATATCCCAAAGGCAATGAACCCTTCTAATTTTACCACATGAGGGAATATATGATATCAATCTGACTTATTATTGTTGATGTTAACATTCATCACTTAGTTTAGACAGTGTCTGCCAGGTTTCTCTGCTCCAAAGTTACTATTTCCCTGGATTCCATATGCTGTTCATTAATGTCCAGCACCCACTCAAGAAGAGGGGAAGTAAGCTCCATCTTCTAGAGAAAGGAGTAATAAAGAATTTGTGGATATGTTAAAACTTCGCCAGGCCGGGTGCAGTGGCTCATACCTGTATTCCCAGCACTTTGGGAGGCCGAATCACAAGGTCTGGACATCAAGACCATCCTGGCCAACATGGTGAAACCTCGTCTCTACTAAAAAATACAAAAAATTAGCCAGGCATAGTGGTGCATGCCTGTAGTCCCAGCTACTCAGGAGGCTGTGGCAGGGGAATCATTTGAACCGGGAAGCAGAGGTTGCAGTGAGCCGAGATAGCACCACTGTACTCTAGCCTAGCGACAGAACAAGACTATGTGTCAAAAACAAAACAAAACAAAACAAAACAAAAAAAACCAAAAAACTTCCCAGTAATTAATTTCTAGAGGAGAGAAACACTTTGGAGCTATGCAAATATCCTATTTCTCCTTAACGTTTCACCCACTAATTTTAGCATTCATTGCTTGATCTTGCCTGCTGCAGTTATTACTGTGGGATTCTAATGTTGACTCTTCTATTTCCCTCATTCTTCCTATGTTTATTAACCGGGATTCTTCTGTGAGGAAGATTTGAACAGTAAATTTTTAACCTGATTTAGATGAACTACAAAAAGCAATGAGGAGAGTCAAGGTACCACGAATGTTGACATAAATTTACATTTATCATTATTAAAAAATATAATCAAAAGCACATTAATTAAAGTTTCAGGGTCTCTCATGAAGGTAAGAAGATGCATTTTAAACAATATACCTTTAACTCTAACAGAAATGGTATGGTGGATTGCTCCTAATGCATTTTTTGCTATACATTGGTAATTTCCAGAGTCTGCTTCTGAAACATGAGTGATCTGCAAGGTTTTCTTAAAGTTCTTATAAGATGTCCTGTTGGTGGGTAAAATTCCATCTTCTTTTGCCCAGTAAATAAGTGGGGTAGGCCTGATAGGATAAATAAATAATGATGCTATAAAAAAGAAATCCAACTATAACTACTTTTAAGGGTGAATTTTCATGCAAGTTTGTAACAAATCTTTATATAAAAATCACAAGAATTATATAGATATTTTAATTAGCAACACACTTTTATAAATAATGCTCACAGTTTTACATTTTCACATAAACAGAACTATACTAATTTATGGAGCACCATAAACTTTGATGTCAGTGATGCAGTGTGAATGCCAGCATGAGTTGCTTTACTGATAGGGCCTAATTATTTTCTTCCATGTTCTGACTAATGACGAACTCTCAGAAATATTTACATGAAGCTACTATGTTAATCAAAATAAATACTATTATATTAATGATACTGAATTATAATTTTTCCTTAGCTAGAAATAAAAATGTACAGAGAAAAACTCATAAACATATCTATGACCATAAACCTTTGCATTCATTTCCATATCAAACGGAAGAACTTTTCTATTTTACAGCAGTCTGTCTGCTGATGTGAACTAAGTGATTAGGGAAACAGCATTCTTTCCTTAGTTTCATTATTAGTGACATTTAAAAATATTATTATAATAATTGATTAGATCAAATTTAGGTATCACTCATACCATTTGTCACCCAATTTTGTTTTTTATCATCATGAAATATGGAGAGAGATGAAAAGTCAGAATACAGGCTTAAAGTTAGGTCTTTACAATTCCAACCCTGTCCCTAGATTTCTGATCTTTTTGAGCCTTTAGTTTCCTGAGTTGCCTTAATGGGTATAATAATGCTTGACTTGAACTAATGACTTTAGAAAGTTTTCATGAAGGTAAAATAAAAATCCATTCAACACAAAACTTTCCTAAGCATTGAACTATACACCAAGCATTGAGTTGTGTGTTGGGAAGATAATGAAGAAACTATGGTCCCCAGGGCCTCAGGAAGATAACGGTATTTGTCAATAGCAATGCAAATGACTCTGAATAAGAACGGCTCAGCTCAGAAGGGATCATCATGGCAGATGGGAGGCAAAACTAGATTACAGCTCTGAATTGGATGGACAGAGAAGCATGTGGAGGCTCACATCAGGAATTTTAGCTCCAGAATGACTGCAAGAACAAACCTGCTGAGAGGACTCACAGACTCTCTGAAGAAATCAGACTGCTCTTGCAGGACCCAGGAGATATCCCAAATACTGTGAGCGCCCAAACTGCAGAAGTGGGAAACTGAAGGTCTAGTTTGCAGGAGAAGTTTCTGACCTTAACTGGAGCTGAGTCAATTTAGAGAGCTGAGCGAAATACAGGGGTAGAGGAAGCAGCAGGAAAGGCCCTGGGAGCTTGCTGGGTCCCCAAGCAGCCCATTTCTGCCTGGCGCCACAGTGATCCATCAGTAGGGCAGCCAGAGGCATAGGGAAAAATGCCACAGGGGGAAGGAAGTCTCCAGCTGAACTTTGTAACAATTTGAACTGGGCTAGAAGCTTCCTGGCCAGAACTTGAGGGATGGTACAAATCTGGCACATAGACTCCACAGGTGGGGAAGAACCAAGCCCTTTTCTTTCACAGCTCGGAGGCAGGTAGCCTGGGGCAAGTTCTCAAGCCCTGCTCACCCACTGCCTGGAAACAAACTTGGGGCTCTTAGGGGACGCACTGTGGGAGTGAGACTGGTCTTTTCTTTGCATGGGAGCTGGGTAAGGCTTGTGACCTTTGGATTTCCCTTGTTTCCCCAACAACCTCCATGACTCAGCAGAGGCAGCCATAATCCTCCTATGTACACAACTCCATTGACCTGGAAACCTCACTCCATCCCCAACAGCAGCTGCAGCAAGACTCACCCAAGAAGAGTCTGAGCTCAGATACGCCTAGCCCTGTCCCCAACTGATGGGCCTTCCCTACCTACCCTGCTAGCTGAAGACAAAGGGCATATAATCTTGGGAGTTCACAGCCCCACCCACTACCAGTTCCTCTTCATACTACCACAACTGATGCTCTCTGGAAAGCACCACCTCACGGCAGGAGGCCAACCAGCACAAAAATAGAACATTAAACCACCAAAGCTAAGAGCCCTCACAGAGTCCATTTCAACCCCCTGCCACCTTCACCAGAACATGTGCTGGTACCCATGGTAGAGAGGCCCATGGTTCACATCACAGGACCCCATGCAAACAACTAGCAGTACCAGCCCAGAGCCCGGCAGACTTGCTGGGTGGCTAGGCCCAGAAGAGAGATAACAATCACTGCAGCTTGGCTCACAGGAAGTCACATCTATAGGAAAAGGGGGAGAGTAATACATCAAGGGAACACACCATGGGACAAAAGAATCTGAACAACAGCCTTCAGCCCTAGACCTTCCTCTGACAGAGCCTACCCAAATGAGAAGGAACCAGAAAACCAACTCTGGTAATATGACAAAACAAGGCTCTTTAACACCTCCCAAAGAATCACACTAGCTCACCAGCTCGAAGTCCAAACCAAGAAATCCCTGATTTACCTGAAAAAGAATTCAGAAATTTAGTTATTAAGCTAATCAGAGAGGCATCAGAGAAGGGTGAAGCCCAATGTAAGGAAATCCAAAAAACAATACGAGAAGCAAAGGAAGAAACAGTCAAGGAAATAGACACCATAAAGAAAAAACAATAAAAACTTCAGGAAACATTGGACATACTGATGGAAATGCAAAATTCTGTGGAAAGTCTCAGCAATAGAATTGAACAAGTAGAAAAAAGAAATTAAGAGCTTGAAGATAAGGTCTTTGAATTAACCCAATCCAACAAAGATAAAAAGAAAAGAATAAGAAAATATGAACAAAGACTCCAAGAAGTCTGGTATTATGTTAAACGACCAAACCTAAGAATAATCAGTGTACTGAAGAAGAAGAGACATCTAAAAGTTTGGAAAACATATTTGGGGGAATAATTGAGGAAAACTTCTCTTGAGATCTAGATATTCAAATACAGGAAGCACAAAAAACACTTGGGAAATTCATCACAAAAAGATCTTCAGCTAGACACATTGTCATCAGGTTATCCAAATTTAAGATGAAGGAAAGAATCTTAAGAGCTGTGAGACAAAAGCATGAGGTAACCTATAAAGGAAAACGTATCAGATTAACAACAGATTTTTCAGCAGAAACCCTACAAGCTAGAAGGGTTTGGGGCCCCATCTTCAGCCTCCTCAAACAAAACAATTATCAGTCAAGAATTTTGTATCCAGGGAAACTAAGCATCAGATATGAAGGAAAGATACAGTCTTTTTCAGACAAATGCTGAGAGAATTCACCACTGCCAAACTACCACTACAGGAACTGCTAAAAGCAGCTAAATCTTGAAACAAATCCTGGAAACACATCAAAACAGAACCTCTTTAAAGCATACATTACACAGGACCTGTAAAACAAATATATAACTTAAAAAGCAAAAACAGGTCAGGTGTGGTGGCTCACGCCTGCAATCCCAGCACTTTGGGAGGCTGAGGCGGGTCGATCACGAGGTCAGGAGATCAAGACCATCCTGGCCAACATGATGAAATACCATCTCTACTAAAACTACAAAAAATTAGCTGGGTATGGTAGCACATGCCTGTAGTTCCAGCTACTTGGGAGGCTGAGGCAGGAGAATTGCTTGAACCCAGGAGGCAGAGATTGCAGTGAGCTGAGATTGCACCACTGCACTCCAGCTTGGGTGACAGTGCGAGACTCCATCTCAAAAAAAAAAAAAGTAAAAACAAAAAATAAAAAAACTAAGGTACACAGGCAACAAACAGTACAATGAATGCAAGGGTACCACATATCTCAATACTAACATTGAATATAAACGGCCTAAGTGTTCCACTTAAAAGATACAGAACTGCAGAATGGATAAGAACTCACCACCAAGTCTCTGTGGCCTTCAGGAGACTCAACTAACACATAAGGACTCACATAAACACAAAGTAAAGGAATGGAAAAAGGAATTTCATGCAAATGGACACCAAAAGTGAGCAGAGACAGCTATTCTTGTATCAGACAAAAAAACTTTAAAGCAACAGCAGTGAAAAGAGACAAAGAGGGACATTATATAATGGTAAAAGGCCTTGTCCAACAGGAAAATATCACAATTCTAGACATATATGCACCTAACACTGGAGCCCCTAAATTTATAAAACAATTGCTAATAGACCTAAGAAATTAGATAGACAGCAGCACAATAATAGGGTTGACTACAACACTCCACTGACAGCACTAGACAAGCAGGTCATCAAGACAGAAAGTCAACAAAGAAACAATGGATTTAAACTATACTTTGGAACAAATGGACTTAACAGATATATACAGAACATTTCAGCCAATGACTGCAGAATACACATTCTATTTAACAGCACATGAAACTTTCTTGAAGATGGACTATATGATAGGCCACAAAATGATCCTCAATAAATTTAAGAAAATTGAAATTATATCAAGCACTCTCTCAGACCACAGTGGAATAAAACTGGAAATCAACTCCAAAAGGGACCTTCAAAGCCATGCGAAAACATGGAAATTAAATAACCTGCTCCAGAATGATCGTTGGGTCAAAAACGCAATCAAGATGGAAATTAAAAAATTCTTTGAACTGAATGACAATAGTGACACAAGCTATCAAAACCTCTGGAATACAGCAAAGGCAGTGCTAAGAGGAAAGTTCATAGCCCTAATCGCCTACATCAAAAAGACTGAAAGAGCACAAACTGACATTGTAGGGTAAAAATCAAAGAACTAGAGAAACAAGAACAAACCAAACCAAACCCAGCAGAAGAAATGAGATAAGATTGGAGCAGAACTAAATGAAATTCAAGCAAACCAACAGAAAATATAAAAGATAAATGAAACAAAAAGCTGGTTCTTTGAAAAGATAAATAAGATTGATAGATCATTAGCACGATTAACCAAGAAAGAAGACAGAAAATCCAAATAACCTCATTAACAAATGAAACGGGAGATATTGCAGCTGACACCACTGAAATACAAAAGATCATTCAAGGCTGCTATGAACATCTTAACACACACAATCTAGAAAACCTAGCCAAGATGAATAAATTCCTGGAAAAAGACAACCCTTTAAATCAGGAAGAATTAGATACCTTGAACAGACTAACAATAAGCAGCAAGATTGAAACATTAATTAAAAAATTACCAACCAAAAAAAGACCAGACAAGACTGAGTCACAGTAGAATTCTACCAAATTCTTTCGACACTTTTTCACAAGAAAAAGGGAACCCTCCCTAATTCAATTTATGAAGCCAGCATCACCCTAATGCCAAAACCAGGAAAGAATACAACCAAAAAAGAAAACTACAGACTGATATCCCTCATGAACATAAATGCTAACATCCTTAACAAAATGCTAGAGAACCAAATCCAACAACATAGCAAAAAGATAATCCACCATGATCAAGTGAGTTGCATAATAGGGATGCAGGGATGGTTAACATATGCAAGTCAATAAATGTAATACACGACATAAACAGAATTAAAAACAAAATCATGTTATCATCTCAATAGATGTAGAAAAAGCATTTGACAAAATCCAGCATCCCTGTATGATTAAAACTCTCAGCAAAATCGGCATATAAGGGACATATCTCAATGTAATAAAAGCCATCTATGACAAACCCACAGTTAACATAATACTGAATGGGGAAAGGCTGAAAGCATTCCCTTTGAGAACTGCAACACGACAAGAATGTCCACTCTCACCACTCCTCTTCAGTACAGTACTGGAAGTCCTAAACAGAGCAATCAGACAAGAGAAAGAATTCAAATCAGTAAAGAGGAAGTCAAACTGTCACTGTTTGCTGATGATATGATCATTTACCTTGAAAATCCCCGAGACTCGTCTAGAAAGACCCTAGAACTGATAAAAGAATTCAGCAAAGTTTCCAGATACAAGATTAACGTATACAAATAAGTAACTCTTCTATACACCAACAGCGACCAAGTGGAGAGTCAAATCAAGAACTGAACCACCTTTACCATAGCTGCCAAAGAATAAAATACCTAGGAATATACCTAACCAAGGAGGCGAAAGACCTCTCCAAGGAAAACAATAAACCACTGCTGAAAGAAATCAGAGATGACACAAACAAATGGAAACACATCCCATGCTCATGGACGGGTAAAATCAATGTTGTGAAAATGATCATTCTGTCAAAAAAAATCTACAAATTCAATGCAATCCCCATCAAAATACAACCATCATTCTTTACAGAATTAGAAAAAAAATTCTGAAATTCATATGGAACCAAAGAAAAGCCCACATAGACAAAGCAAGACTAAGCAAAAAGAACAAATCTGGAGGCATCACACTACCTGGTTTCAAGCTACACTATAAGGCTACAGTCACCAAAACAGCATGGTACCGGTATAAACACAAACACATAGACCAGTGGAACAGAATAGAGAACCCAGAAATAAACCCAAATACTTACAGCCAACTGATCTTCGACAAGGCAAACAAAAACATAAGATGGGGAAAGGACACCCTTTCCAACAATTGGTTCTAGGATAATTGGCTAGCCACATGCAGGAGAATGAAACTGGATCCTCATCTCTCACCTTATATAAAAATCAACTCAAGTGGGATTAAGGACTTAAATCTAAGACCTAAAACTACAAAAATTCCAGAAGATAACATTGGGAAAACCCTTCAGGACATTGGTTTAGGCAAGGAATTCATGACCAAGGACCCAAAAGCAACTGCTATAAAAACAAAGATAAATAGCTGGGACTTAATTAAACTAAAGTGCTTTTGCACGGCAAAAAGAACAGTCAGCAGAATAAACAGACAACACACAGAGTGGGAGAAAATCTTCACAATCTGTGCATCTGACAAAGGACTAATGTCCAGAATCTACAACAAACTCAAACAAATCAGTAAGAAAAAACAGACAATCTCATAAAAAAGTAGGCTAAGAGCATGAATAGATAATTCTCAAAAGAAGATATGCAAATGGACAACAAACATATGAAAAAATGCTCAACATCACTGATAATCAGGAAAATGCAAATCAAAACCACAATGCAATAGTGCCTTACTCTTGCAAGAATGGCTATAACCAAAGAAATAAAAAAAAAAACCAGTAGATGTTCATGTGGATGCAGTGTCAGGGACCACTTCTACACTGTTGGAATGTAAACTAGCACAGCCAGTAGGGAAAACAGTATGGAGATTCCTTAAAGAACCAAAAGTAGAACTGCCATTTGATCCAGCAATTCCACTACTGGGTGTCTACCCAGTGGAAAAGAAGTCATTATACAAAAAAGATACTTGCACACGCATGTTTACAGCAGCACAGTTTGCAATTGCAAAATTGTGGAGCCAACCCAAATGCCCATCAGTCAATGAGTAGATAAAGAAACTGTGTACAATGGAACACTACTCAGTCATAAAAAGGAATGAATTAATGGCATTTGTAGTGATCTAGATGAGAATGGAAAAGCAAACACCGTATGTTTTTACTGATATGTGGGAGCTAAGCTATGAGCACACAAAGGCATAAGAATGATACAATGGACTTTGGGGACTTGGGGAGAAGGATAGGGGTGGTGAGGGATAAAAGACTACAAATAGGGTGCAGTGTATACTGCTTGGGTGATGGGTGCACCAAAATCTTACAAAGCACGACTAAAGAACTTACTCATGCAACCAAACACCACCTATACCTCAATAACCTATGGAAAATAAAAAATAATTTAAAAAAGAATAGCTTAGCCCAGTCATCACATGGAACCATGAAAAATAATAAATTATGCTTCAAGCAAAAATTGATTATAAAATTGGTTTGGCTTGTTTGGTTGAGTAAAAAAAAAAAAAAACTGAGCATATATATCTGATGAAATAGCTTCTAGAATTAAAACTAGCTATAAATATAAAAATTATGTAGATTTTAGAAAACTATATACATGTAGAATCTGATAACATTTTGATATTTCCTAATAGACTAATCTGCATCTCAGATAAGAAGGTAAGGAGGAGATGGAGACAGAAACATAATTTCATAGTTTGAAATTATGAAAAAGCCATGCATTGTATTGGAGGCCAACTATTATACTGAGCCATTGTCAGGAATTAGAAATATTTGGATTCTGTATGTCCGATGGCTGGTTTGTAAATGATAGAGTCTCAATCTTGGTTTTACAATATTCCAAAGTTTTAAAAATTCTTCTGGGAGTATTGTGAAATTTCCAAAATACCAACCATGTTTTAGTTTTTCATGAAATATGTCATTTGTGGGAAAAGAAGTCTTTTAATTGTGAGATTAGGTATCTTCTGCTCTCGAAGGTTGGAGATTGGCAGATTATGCCACCTTCTTACATGATAATGATTAAAATTGGAAGGATTTTTTCTTCTTAATTCTAGTAGATGTGACGGGTTTTTAGTATACCTTTAAAAGGAGGTTTTGCTAGCTTTTGGTTGCCTGAGGAGGGGGATAATGCATAGTGTGATTTCCTGCCTTGGCCAGCAGAGGCCTCCATTTGCCTCTTGAAGTCAAGTTTTCCTGGATTCAGGAAGGAATGTGAGACCAATGCGTTGCCTGTCAAGGACAGCAGGGATCACGTGTGAGGGCAGCACGTTTCTGACACTCCATTCCAGGATTTTAGCAGATGCGCCTGTACTGAGGCTACCTGCTCTGTGTCAGGCAGAAGACAGGGACTAAACAGAAATTCCTTGTAACACAGAGCTAACATTATAGTCACTTTTGTATTTGGGCGAGGCCTCCCTGCAACTCCTGTCAAAGGCACTTCAGTTCTGGGCTGGGTGCAATTTTGAAGTGTGCACAGATAAGTTATTTCAAAGAATCTACAGTTGGCCTTGTGATCTGCCAAGAGGAAGTAGCTGAAGGGACAATGTGCTAGTTCTGAGGCTAGGATTTAAGAGGCAGGCCCTGTGCATGTTGTCTGTTGTCAGGAGGCCAGGATGAGACTGTAAGAGGGATGTGAGCAACTTATAGCCATCAACTCAGTGGCTCCAGCTAACAAGCAGCAGACCCCAAGAGCAGTGAACCCACTGCTGAGCCACCTAGCAGATGCATGAGCATGCTTAACCAAAATTAGCTAAATCTAGCTGGTTAGAGGACAACTGCTCTGTAGATCTCTCGACAAGGGATCAGTAATAAATAGCTATTATTATTATTTTTTATTATACTTTAAGTTCTGGCATACATGTGCAGAACGTGCAGGTTTGTTACATAGGTATACACATGCCATGGTGGTTTGCTGTACCCATCAACCCATCATCTATATTATGTATTTCTCCTAATGCTATCCCTCCCCTAGCCCCAAACTCTCTGACAGTCCCCAGTGTGTGATATTCTCCTCCTTGTATCCATACGTTCTCACTGTTCAACACCCACTTATGAGTGAGAACATGTGGTGTTTGGTTTTCTGTTCCTGTGTTAGTTTGCTGAGAAATGATGGTTTCCAGCTTCATCCACATCCCTGCAAAGGACATAAACTCATGTTTTTTTATGGATGCATAGTGTCTCATGGTATATATGTGCCATGTTTTCTTTATCCAGTCTATCATTGATGGGTATTTGGGTTAAACAGCTATTATTTTTAAGCTACTAAATTTGAGGTGATTCGTTATAAACTAGCAAAATAATATACTCTAATTATAATCATAGCAGTCATAAAGCTATTACTGATGCTTATTTCAAGATGAACACTACATTAACGAAATATTTTAACAATAATGTGAGACATAATATTTCATCAATCATGAAGTGATTACTGATACTTATTTCAATATGATTACTATTACATTAGCACAATATTTTAACAATAATGTAAGATTCATATGGTCTACTTTGGAAATAATTACTAAATTTTTCTTGATGCTTGGTAGAATTAGTAGAAGACAATGACTTCTCCTATGATATTAACACCTCTCTACCAACCTACTATATTTTTATAAGAATGTACTTCAGGACAGAAAGTGTTAACTCACAGTCCTTCTGCAATGCACTCCAGTAAAAGCACATTTCCTCTTAATTCCTCTTTGTTACTTGCATTGCCTTCTGGAGTTAAAAATGTTGGTGGCCTCTCTCTATTTGATTTAGCTGCAAACAAGAAAATCAATATACATTACAACTTATAAATATGCATTTCTATAAACACAGTTCATTATCAAAAAGCTATCTAAAATTCTAATCCCTTTTTAAGCTATTTAATATTAATTGTGAAATTTGATAAGCTACAAATACATACTCTCTGCCTTATAACTAGTCATAACTCACTCAGTTACCCAGAAACAAACAATTTTGGTTGCATAAGCACTAATAATAAGGACTGTTTTTCTTTTGTGTATTTCCTTAATTTGGGTTAGGTTTTTACAAATTTTCTGTGGGTTATAAAATTTTCAAAATGTTGACATGGAGAGGAAAATCATCTTATCAAACTATATTTCCTTCAGGATTAGTGCTTAGGTCAAAGCAAAAATTAACTGTCTATCTTCTGGAAAATGTCAGGTTTTATAAAGATATGCTTATAGAAGGGGTATCCTGGCTTACAGTGGGGACAATATTATAGCCAATATCACTGATTAATCATATTAAGATCCCCAAACTGCAATGCCTATGGAAAACAAAAAGTAGAGAGTTACTGACAGAGGTCTTGCAAATATTATGCCACAAATTAAGAATAATGTTGGCATTAAATAAATGGAAATCATTTTTCTCAATGAAAAAATAAAGAGGGTCCAAGTCAAAGATCTTAGGGATGGTTATACAGGCCATCTTCTTTTTATGGCAGCCTTTCCAAAGGGTGGCCTTATCTTCTGAAGGCTTCTTAGGAAAACTTGAAGCAGAAAGTACATAATCGTAAGTAAGGCTTTTTAACCCTTGAAGCTTTTCAGCTCTTTAATGCATTATCTACTTGATGCTTATAAAAACAGAATGAAAACGTAATATGATATGAATTATTCTTATTTCTAAGAAAAAAATCCAATGCCAGAAGAGGTTTTACTTGAGAGAAATTAGTTTTCCTAAGAATTTAGAGATTGTGCAGGTAAACTTACTCCTCTAAAATCACTTTGGGAATGGTCTTGGGGCCCATATTTTCAGGAGTATATTCAAATAAAATAAAATAAAGTAGCAATTGTGGAGTGTCTGTCTTGGTCACTGATGAGACCTTAATGTCTTTTACTCAAATCTCAAGGGTAAAAAATTAATATAGCAGCAATTCTGCCTTATGGATAATTAAGAGGACCCTATATCCAAAACCCATTATTTTCATTCATAGACTCTACATGAGAACATTTCCCATAAGGAAATCAAATCCATTTCTATCTAAAATAATGAAGTTAAATGCTCTACTTTTAAAAAGATTACTTCCATTGAAGACAGTGATTTGGTCTGACTTGCTTTTAAACAAAACTAAGAGAAACGGTATTGCTAATTATATTGATAATGCCACATGAAAACAGATGAGAAATGTAATGCTTTACTACGAAATCCACTTTATGTTAGTTGCTAAAAGCTTTGATGAGTCAATATTCTAGCAAGTTAATGTACCCTGCTAACTCTTACTTAGTTCACAAGAAAAGTTATGAACAGAACAAAACACGGAAAACATAATTCTGAACATACGTGAAAGATTTTTTCCAAATCAGTGAAATGGTTCTTTACACGAAAACAGTTACAACAGGTTTCATTATTATACACACGTCATGGAGAATGCTCTAGCGTCATGCTTCAAAGTTTAGAGCTAAATTTCTTAAGAAACATACATTTATACTAGTGGTATTAAACATGTAACTAGAAATTTCATAAAGAAATAAGGTTAAATAGCCATGGAGGTGAAGTTAGTGAACTAAATTCTACAATGAAGGAGAGAATATCAGTTACAATCACCATAACTCACCACCATAAAACTCAGTGTCACTCAAATTAGCAGCTATAGTGTCATTCAATTCATCCACTGAAATAAACAGAATATTATGAAGAGGGCACAAAAGTAGCAGAGAAGGGTCAAAAAGTACTGGGCAATAAAAGCAAATGTATGCAGCTATGCTGACCAACTGCTGTCCCTATCAAGTAAAAACAGGGCTTTACATTGTACATGACTAACTCTTTAATTTACTCAGCCACCCCCAACCAGGAATATGCGGACATTTAACTTAAGCTGCAGGACTGCCAGTAAGAGGCACTGTGGAGCACAAAGCCCATGCAAATGCTCAGAAGACCAGGTGGTTCAGAAGGTTATCATAGAACCAGTCATGATAATAAAAGCAAGAAATGCAAAATCCAGTATTTAGGGTATGCACAATATTTGTAACACATATGCCACTTTAGTGAGCATTCATGGGTGGTTTCCTGATAATGAACCTGTTTACTTCAAAGTCAGTAGTATATAATTGTTTCTATATTTTATACATATTCGTAAATTAAAGGAGAGATTCGGGAAGCTGAACTCTTACCAGAAATCACCTTCACGGAAATAGGTTGCTTCTGCTGTATGGTTTGAGTATGATTAAATCTGGCATAACAGATATAGTCTTCACGGGTATCCTCTGGGAGGACATTGGAAAAATACAGGTCCCCATTCAGACCTTGAGAAACTCTCTCACTTTGTGGAAGTCTTTGAAAGGCTGGAGAAAGGCAGAGAGATATCCAGGTTATTCCATCATAAAGTGGCTAACCTCCAAATTAGCAAGATAAATGTATCTACTAATAGGTCTGTGAACTTCATTTGAATATATTTTTTTCTCTATACAACTCTTTGGGTAAAAGCAAATAACTGTAAAAACACACACACACACACACACACACACACACACACCACACTAAAACTCAAACTCTACCTCCCTGACCCTACCTTCTCTGGGGTGGGGGCAGAGGTGAGATTAGAGTTATACAGTGAAGTGTTTTATTAAGCAAATGTAAACAAAATGTGTTTTCCAAAAAGTTTGTGTGATTTTCCTAATATCTAAATGGATCCCTAGCTGTTAAATACACACACACATGTATCTTAGAAAATCATTAAGGAAGCTTCTAAAAATGTTAACGTGGATTGCATCTACACACAAAATTCAGAAACTAAATACTTGGAGAGCATCTAATGGTGAGCCGGGTCCTGTGCAAGACACTGGGCATGCCAGAGTCCCAGCCCTGTCTGAGGTCATCATCCAGTTGAAGAATCAGGCAGCAAATGGGCAGCTGATAATAATTGGGTGTGACGTGACACTACTTATCTAATGCTGCAACCTGCCCCTCCAAAGCCTCCCAAGCCCAGTTCCTCCACCTCCTCTACTCTTCTTTTCCGAATTACTTATCACCTTCTGGCATGCTACATATTTACTCATCATATATATGACTTATTGCCAGTTTCCTGCATTAGAATTGAAGCTCCAGGACAGCAGACACTTTCATCTGCTTTGTCCACTAGAACAGTGCCTGGCCCTTCACAGGGCTCCTTTAAATGTGCATTGAAGGATTAAGTGAGTAACCATCAACACTCTGACTTTCCAGTGTCAAGCATAGTAATTTATTAATACTTCCCCTCAGGTCCAGTTAAGGAACTATCTTGCCTTAGGCAGGAGGATTTTCTTTTTTTTTTATGGACACATAATAAACTGTACATACTTGTGGGGTACAATGTGACATTTCAATACACATGTACATTGGTAATGATCAAATCATGGTAACTGGCATATCCATCACCTTAGTTACCATTTCTTTGTTGTGAGAACATTCAAAATCTTCTCTTCTAGCTATTTAAAATATACAATGCATTACTGTTAGCCACAGTCACCCTACTGTGCAACAGTGTATCAGAACTTATTTGGAGGGAAGATTTTCTAAGTGGATGAAGGATGCAGGGAGGTGGAACAACTGATCTGTGTGTGAGTTCACACTTAGCCAGCTAATAGGCATCCTGAAGCTCCTGACTTAGTCCATAGAGCTTTATCTGTGAGACTTCTTCAGCTCTGAGGTGACAGAACTGAAAAAAGTCACACCTCCCAGTGGCCTCAGGCAGGTGCTATGTCTCCTGGCAGGGTTTTTCCAGTGTGAGTCAAGCAGGTCTGCTCCTCCTATAGCAGGTGCTTGGCCTAACATTTCACAAAATGCAAAATTATGGTTAAAAGTCTGGATCTCCCTTAGGCAGAAGAAGGCAGGGAAATGTGGAGGCAGAGCTTGAAAGAAAGAACACCGGTTCATCATTAACCAAATTATTGGTCAAGATGGGGGTTTGGTTGGCGGTTGCAAATTTATGGTTTTAAGCCATTAATTCCCAGGAAAAGGAGTGTTTTAACAATAACTCAAGCCGGGTGCAGGGGCTCTAAAAATGTTAACGTGAGTTGCATCTACATACAACGTTCATAAACAAAATACATGGAAAGCTGGGTCCTGTGGGGATGACGTGTCTGTAATCCTGATCTCAGGTGGTCCTCCCAGCACTTTGGGAGGCCTAGGTGGGTGGATCATCTGAGATCAGGAATTCAACACCAGTCTGGCCAACATGGTCAAATCCCATCTCTATTAAAAATATAAAACTTGGCCAAGCATGATGGTGGGCACCTGTAATCCCAGTTACTCGGGAGGCTGAGGCAGGAGAATCACTTGAACCTGGGAGGTAGAGGTTGCAGTGAGCTAAGATTGCACCACTGCACTCCAGCCTAGGTGATAGAGTGAGACTCTGTGTCAAAAGCAAAAACAAAAACAAAAACAAAAAAAGACTCAGAAGAATTAAGCACATTTTGTTTAACAAAGAGTTAAAGACAAAAATACCTTTATTGTCCTCTGTTTCTCCTGCTGTGGTAATAAAATAATAAACTGAAAGGTGTTGGCAGACCAAATGTTAGGCAATGGGACTTCATGAGGGTAGTGGCATTTTGCATTGCATTTGGAAAAAAAAATGTATGCAGATAGGAATAACTTAATGTCATCTTGTAAGAAGTATGCTATATGGATCTAATTTTTTTCTCATATTGCAGGTGCAATTCCATTTGAAAGGTCAGATGCTTCACCAACAGCCTACAATGTATGTGGGTGCTATATCTAGCTGTATAACGTGGGGAAGAAATTAGTGATGTATGCAGATGACTCTGAGACTTTACACTCTGAGACTTTATATGTGATATGTCTCTTTAATAAGTAAAAACGTAATTATTTCTGAATAAGAACCAAGGACCAAATATTGAGACTTAATTCGGCCGTGACATTTGGAGTGTGTTATTCTTAAAGAAACAAATCACTTTTTTACATTTGGCTTACTACTTATTTTTGGAAAATCTGTAAAAGATTCATTTAGTTATATATTTGTGTTTTACTTCTTTGCATTACTTTACTTTCTCTGACTGCTTTCATGCAAAAAGAGTCAAAAATGCATCCCAGTAAAATAAAATAAAAAATAAAAATAAAAAATGCACGTTAAATGTTACAGCCAAATTTTCTTTTTAGTAACATATATGTCTTGTGAGTGCAGAGGCAATCAGGTCACGGAACATAGAATGTATTTCCCACAGATTCTTTTAACTCATTCCCACGATTCCACCTAAACGACTCTTAGCAGGATTACCAGGAACCTCCAAGTTGTCAAATTCAGCAGTCATTTTTTAGTTCTCATATTATCTGATCTATCAGCAGCATTTGAAACAGCTGACTACTGTGTCTTTCAAAAATATTTTCCAAAATTATTACCATTATTTTTTTTAGAGATAGTGTCTCACTCTGCTGCTGGGGCTGAACTGCAGTGATGTGACTGTAGCTCACTGCAGCCTTGAACTCCTGAGCTGAAGCAGTCCTCACATCTCAGCCTCTCAATTAGCTGGGATTACAGCGTCAGCCACCCTGCCTGGTTATTCTGTCTTTCTGACACACATTCTTCACTTTGTCCCTGGGACACCACTCTCTTCATTCATTTCTTCCTTCAGTGACTGCCTCTTCTCCTCTGCTTTGCTGGTTTCTCCCTGAGTTCTTCACCTCTGGGGGGCTCCTGGTCTCAGTCTCCCAGACTCTGCTCTCCTGCTCCCCAGATCCTCTCATCTAGCTCAGGCGTCTGGGGAGCACTTACGCACTAAGGATTCAAACACTGCTGATCATAGCCTAGAATCTTCCTTCCAACTCAGGTATCTCTGACTCTAGTTGGCACCTCTCCATGAAATATCTTACAGGCCTCACATCCCAAACTCTGGTTTCTCAGTCTCCAAGCAGGTCTCCCTCTAAGGTAACATGCTGACCTATTAGCACAGGAAATTTTGGAGGGTGGAAGAGGCAAAGCAACAAACATTCCCTTGAGGACAGAAACAGGGGTAGATAAGTTTGAAATTGCCTAATGGATGGCTTCATTCTCTTTGCCTCAGTTTCCTCATCTAGAAAGTGGAAAATAATTAGACATGCCTCATCAGGTTGTGAAAATTAATGTGATAGCCCATGTTGAGCCCTTGGTAAAGGGTCTGATACTTTGTAAATGCCCAATAACTATTAGCTATTGTTGGGGATTAAAAAAACAAACAGGAGATCCCAAATAGCCAAACAGGAACAGCTCTGGGGTGCAGTTCCCAGCGAGAATGCAGAGGATGAGTGATCACCGCATTTCCAAATGAGTTTTTACTGCCTACAGACCAGGAGATTCCCAGGCTGAAAAGCACCATGAGTCTCTACCACAGCTGTTTCAGCTGGTGCACCTGGTCTCTGCACAAAAACTCACACAAATTTGGGTGGCCATTTCAACTGACGTCTGGAACACCTAGGAGAGAGAGTCACCCATTCAACTGAAAAAAGGGGGCTGAAACAGAGAGCCAGGTGATCTGGCTCAGCAGGTCCCACCCCCACAAAGACCAGCAATCTGAAATGCTCTGGATTGAGACTTTCACACCAAGCACAGCTGGACCACGATGGTCCAGATCTGTGGGGGGAAGGGCATCTACCATTACTGAGGCAGTCCACCACTACCGAGGCAGTCCGCCATTACTGAGGCAGTCCACCATTACCGAGGTAGTCCACCATTACTGAGGCAATCTGCCATTACTGAGGCAGTCCGCCATTACAGACACAGTTTGCCATTATTGAGGCAGTTCTAACTATACCTCTATAAACAAAACTGCAAGGAAGTTCACAGAGCAGCTGGGCAGAGCCCACAGCTTTGCTGGCAGACTGTGGCTAGGCTACCTCCTCGCTGGGCAGGGCATCTCTGAAAAAAGGCAGCAGCATGTCAGGAACTTACAAATAAAGCCCACCTTCCCAGGACAGAGCACCTGGGGAAAAAAGGCAGTTATGACTTACACTGTAGAAGACTTAAACGTACCTGCCCAGCAGCTCCGAATGGAAAAATGGAGCTCACAGCTCAGCACCTGAGCTCCTATAAGGGACAGATTGTCTCCTCAAGCAGCTCCCCAACCCCTGTATATCCAAAGAGACACCACATAAAGGAGAGCTCAGGCTGACATGATGGCGGGTATCCTTCTGGGACAAAGATAACAGAAGAAGAAACTGGCAGCAAGCCTTACTATTCTGCAGCTGCCACAGGTGATCCCCAAGTAAGCAGGGTCTGGAGTGGACCTCCAGCAGTCCTACAGCAGAAGGGCCTGACTGTTAGAAGGAAAATTAAAAAACAGAAAGAAATAACTTCAACATCAACAAAAAGGAT